TAAGGTACCTGCATGCCAAATTTCAAGCGTCTAACTTAAGCGGTTTAGATTTTTCATACAAAAGGATTATCCCGCTTATTCCCGTTCCCGTGGGAATTCTTAAGTATCCTATAACCTGCCCAGGAGTATGAAGAATAATTGTACCAAGTTTCGTTAAAATCCGTCGAGTAGTTTTTGTTTCTATAAGGAACATACAGACAGACAGACAGACAGACAGACAGACAGACAGACAGACAGACAAAAATTTTACTGATTGCATTTTTGGCATCAGTATCGATCACTTATCACCCCCTGATAGTTATTTTGAAAATATATTTCATGTACAGAATTGACCTCTCTACAGATTTATTATAAGTATAGATTAACCGACTCTCAATTCAAATTAAAATAAAACATGAAACGAAATGCATTTGTCATGTACTAATAATGTATAAAAGATACCTGATAATTATGTAGGTATCATAATACTCGTAGTAAATTAATTGGAATGCAATTAAGGTTTTAACGTGTGCTGATGATATGAGACTGTTACAAGTCTATGAAATAACGTAGATAGAGAATGGAAAAATACACTGAATACTTTTAATTCTTAAGGATTTATTATTGTTTTAGGTGGTGTAGTAAAAAATTTCTAGAGTTTTCTATCTTTCTAAGTAATTTCATATTGATATGTGTGTTACTTTGCGATAAGTATTGTGCGCTGCAAGTATAGTTTTCTATTCGAAAACACGCTTTATTATCCGCGTCTGACGCAAGCGGGCGCGCAAACTTGAATAAATATTCAACAGGCGAAAACTAAGCAATAAAATGGCCATTTCTCGCATTCGTACCCACGCTGATACTTATTAAATCAGATTGATCCAGTCGTGCATGCCAACATCGAAAATTAGCCTTCGAAAGCGTCATGGGCTAAGACAACCCGAGAACAACTTGCACCGCTACTCTACGCTTCCAATTTTTAATGTTAGTTTTTTTAAATCAAACAAAAAGGTCAACGTGTCTGAGAATAAGACAGACTACTTATTCCCGGTGAACGGTGTTTGAAAGGCCTTTTTTTCCTCGTGGAATTTATAAAGAATGATCGATCGGTGCGACAGATTGTACCACGCGATTTGTCACGCATCGAATCAAGTGTTTACGATTATACGACCCCACCACTACCGTTTGCTCGAGGAAGATCATTGATACCTAAATTAACTTGGTATCGGTATCTATGTAACGCTAACGGGAATAGAAATAGGCTGGGTGGCAGGTAAAAATAAGAAAATCGTCTTTTCTTGTTTGCTACATAATTTTGACCTAAGCTTTAATAATAGCTCTCTCTAAAAACACTTGCTGCATCTATACTCATAAATTATACATAAAGCGATTATTATACATTGAATAAATGAAATCCAATAAATTATTGTAATATACGTACATAAATATTGCAAAATAACATCGCAATTTATTTTGCAGATGCTAATATTATTTTGTATATTCTTCGTTTTAGATGTGTCTTTAAAATGTGTTGCATTAATGTGTTAATTGCATAGTTAATTTATGGTTTACAAATGTTTCGATTAACATAATCGTATTTATGTTATTGCTACACACGGCGTTTGTTTTCTCATTTATAAACATTTTTGTAACAATCTTATTGCCCAATTTAAAATAAAGGTAAGGTCACATTTTATTAAAATGTCAATATGCCTGGAACGTTTGCAGTTTATTATTTCGCAATTAGGTAAAATAGTTTCTAGGTGCAACTAGGTACCTACGATTTCCCATTATATCGATACGCTATTGAGCATGGTTATTGGTTATAGCTTGTTAAAAGTTTACTGTGGTAGGTACAAACGACGGCATATGCCCAACAAGGTAGCATTTTATGCAGTTGGAGTAAGTGTGATTTTGCATCATAAAATGTTATAGTTTGATGTGCTGTCGACTGTACACATAAAAGGAGTAATCGCTTATGTTTCTAATTAGTCCATGCTGATTGCGATCAGCTGGGGCGGTCGCTCCGGCCGCCTCTAGCCCGGTTCACAGGGGACTGACCTTTCCTTCGCGAGGAATGCTATTATATTGTCATTCCCACACGACCTGCCGCCATCTTTACGAGTGAACTAACACCACTTAGGCTCAGGTGTTGCAATAATTAGTTTTGCCCGATTTTATTACGAATTAACACATCGGCTGCACCGGTTGTTACGTGATCTTTGGTATCATGTACATACAGGATTCGACGAAATTCATTACGTAAAGTTTTTACATTTCACACTGCCCAGATTCGATAGGATTACTGGATTTATGTAGGCCATGACTCAAGTGGATTACTTTTAGTTATTCCACTGCTTTCACCATTTTTCGGATTTTGGTCTCAATGTAGATCAAAGCTGTCTAGATTTTTGCTTTTCTTGGCAGCCATAGTCGTTTCGCATTTGAAAAATTATAATTATCAGTATGAATAGGTACTGCTGACTGGTATGTAGGCAACTTCGTGACCGTACGAAATGCGTGCAGTGCACTTTTGTTTAAATAAGAGCGCTCTCATTCTTAGAATCAACTGTTAAATTTTAACTGACAACGACCTCTTGACTTGTGGATCTCACGAGTACACATTCATCAACAACAAACACATTAATGCAAAATTACTTGACCCGGTGCACTGAGATTTTATATTTTACTGCGACAGTTAACGTTATCTGTTTATAAAGACACCGTAACCGACTCACTGATTTATCAACACACAGCTCAAACTACTGAATAAGTTTGCACGCTGAAATTTGGCCTGCAGGGGAGTTTATGACGTAGAAATCCGCTAAAAAGGATATAATTTTCCAAAATTCATCCCCTAGGGGGATGAAATGAGTAAAGCAGTGGGAAAAAAGCTAGTAGGTAATTAACTTAAATGTAATTTAGGTACTTCGACATTATTGAAAGCCTCAGTTAAAAATTGCTCAAATTCTGAATTTGAAATGCGATATACAATAAACTTTACGTCACACTGTAGTAGGTACATTTTACTTCAATGCTAACAATAAATAATACAAGTAGCATTCCATTCGTACTCATAGATGTTTCCAACAAGGATCACTGCCAAAGACACAGCCGCGGCGGTCGCGCGAGCGCGTGCATCTCATAGTCTTCTCATGAATGAATAGTTAAACATAAACATAGCGAAGCATCGGTTATTTTTAGGTTATTCAGCTATGGCCCACAGCACGTACGAATTTTTATTTCGCGCCAACTCATTGACGCCCCGATTCAGGGTTCATGGCCAAAAGAAGACCATCGTTCGAAACATTAAACTGGTTACGTAAACTGAAAAAAGTCATGTCTACGTCGTATTGCGAGCTAAATCTGGTCGTTTCATCAAAACAAGACCGTGATATCATGATTTGCGAGAAAACAAATGTTTTCCTGCATGCATGCAGTCATTGTTTGCACCAATGTCAGAAGTTAAAAGTTCTTTAATGCTTAGCTTGGATAGTTGATTGATGGAGAGTGCTTGAGGTATAAATCTCTATTTTCGTTAAATGTATTATTAAAAAATAATGTGATGCACTCGTTACCTACTTGTTCTTTAAATGTATTAAGAACTAGCGGCCGCCCGCGACTTCGTACGCGTGGACCCCACCTCCTTAGGGGTTGGATTTTGCAAATTTCGCCGTAAAAACCATCCTTGGACTTCAACGAACATTAAAAAAAAAGATTTGATAAAATTGGTCCAGGCGTTGTTGAGTTATGCGCTTACCAACACATTTTGCGATTCATTTTTATATTATAGAAGACTAGCGGCCGCCCGCGACTTCGTACGCGTGGACCCCGTTTTACCCTTAGGGGTGAAGTTTCAAGTTTTTTCAAACTTTTCTCGCTGTAAAAACCATCCTTGGACTTCAACAAACATTTTAAAAAAAGAATTGGTAAAATTGGTCCAGGCGTTGTTGAGTTATGCGCTTACCAACACATTTTGCGATTCATTTTTATATTATAGAAGATTAGAAGTGCTAGTATACAGGGTGTTTGGTAAATGGGTATATGAGCCGACACTAGCCCATATTAACATGGGCATATAAATGGTATGGTGAAGTCAGAAAATTGATATCTTCATTTTAATTATTTTAATTTTCATACAAATCGGATTTTATAAAATTTATTTTGTATGAAAATTTAAAAAAATAAAATGATGATTTCAAATTTCTGACTTCACCATACCATTTATATGCTCATGTTAACATGGGCTAGTGTCGGCTCAAATACCCATTTACCAAACACCCTGTATACAATATAGCTGCCAAGTAAAGTCTGCTGCATATTTATTTAAAAACGATCTATAATTAGTTAATAATCACCAACTCTGTAGCTCTGCATTTATGTGTCTAATAATATAACCGGTACTAGGTTTATTACGCCTTTTTGCCATCATTTATAGAGGCGTCTACTAAATTTAATAAAATTCTTTTAACTTCTTAATTACGTGCCTTAAGGCTTGAACTATTAAATAAAGTTTAATTAGGTGCAACGCTGGAGATTTTTTGCGCTACCTTCGCTTCTTTAAAAGAGCTTTTTGTACCCTTTTACCTCGTTACCTCGTAAATACCCTTTGATGTCATATTTCGTTATTGTTATTATTTTAATTAGGTGCGAAGGCACCGACAATTATCTCGCCCACGACGACTCAAGCCGGCTCTTTTCTTTTTGTACAAAAATGGAATTAACCTATTTTATAACGTGAAATGTTAATTGCTACTCGTTCACTGAAATTTTAATGTTTTACAAGTGTTACTTTAAGTACATTCTTAGATACCCTTGAGTGTAGTTTAGCCTGTGTCTTCAAGTAATCTTACTAGTGATTTGATACACTTCCTGAAGTTACGTTGATCTGTATTTTGCATACTTATTAAGTCAGAGCTGATCTGATGATAGTGTCGGAAGCTATTAGCTGGTCGTTAATAGAAAATCCTGTTTTATCAATTATTGTAATTTCGCTTACTGATCGTTGTTTTCTGTTGCAGGTAACCTACATTTGTGTGTGGAAAGACAAGAATTTGTGAGGCTCGTCATGTGGTAGAGATAAACGTATAGGTATGTATGACGAATTAATAATTATCTCTGATCAATTAACCTTCGACCTTGGCAAAGCATGATGTGGAACAATCTCGATGTTGAGACCAATAGTGCATGTCCGTTGCACACCGAGACGATTCGGTAGCCTTGTAGGTAGAGGAAACAAGTAGGCGGTAATGAATTTGTGAAGCGTAATTCCTTTAGAATTCATTCGGAAAATCTTTCCTTTTTATCTTTTTACCAGAAGGAGAGTTATTTACGTAAAGAGAGCCGAGTTTACCACTCTCCACCCAAGCGTGAAATTACTTACTTACTTTGTGTCCTGGGCAAATAGTTTTGAGGATTTCTCTAAAATCTTGCTTTTTGAGACTAACCGAAAGGGGTACACACAGTAAGTATTATAAAAATTACTCATACCTATCTACTTACATTACTTTGCGTAACTTTCATCATCATCAGGAAGTCTCTACTTATACATCCCTTAAAGTTTACCAGAGGGTTTGCCAAAGGAGCCTTTAAGACATATTAAAAACTAAAAAGTCATATTAACACACTATAATTTTTACTACGTACCTAAGAAAGGTATTACGTAAAAAAATTAAATGGCAGTCTAATAAAATATGTCTACATGTTAGTCAGCGAATAATTCTCGACATTCCACGTTCATGTAAGATCAAGGGCGGATTTATAACTGGCCGCCGCTCGGTCATTTAGAAATGAGCCGATACATCTGGCGATAGCGGCCCATAAACAAACAGACGTGTGCTTTCTAATCAATAACATCTGAAATATTTTAAACAATCACGTCTCGATAGCGAACAAAATGCACGTAATCTATAGAATGATAAAGTATGCACACATACGTGGCTAAATGTAAATATTGCCCTAAGTGGCAGTATTTCAGGATCTAGGGCTCTGTAGGGCTATTTTTCAGGGGTGGCAGTTGACATATCTCGTAGTTCATAAGAAATTGAATAAAATAATTTTTATATTGATTTGATTTTGTACTAGTTCTAGAGAAAGGGCTTTTTAACGCACATTTAACGAAAATTTCAGTATCTCAACAGTCCGAATTATGAAGCGGCTAGTCAGAATATCTACACTCGCTTATAAATTCGAGCGAATGACATACGAGTACCTAATACTGAATTTCAAACAATCTATTAAAATTTGATAGTTTTGTGGGTAGATAGATATCAAACAGCGTATAAAATATATGAAGTGCAATTTTTACATTACTTAGGCTTTAACAGCACGCAATTTAAAAGCATTAAGGGAGTGACTATATTCGCTCGCGAGCCGATCATTGCTCGCATTCGTTCGTCGCTCATCTTTATCATCCCCCATCAGTCACAGTTTTGAATATTTGCTTTACCTAATTATTGATAGCCATCAAAACCGCACTCGAAGATGATTCGTTTCATATTAAGAGCCACGTCTCTGGTGTAGTAGTGATTGATACGCAAATATTAAATGCATGGTCAAGGTTGCAGAGCCGATTGAAAATACCTCTATAATAAAGTACTTTCCTTTCATGGAACTGAAAACATTGCAATGAAAAACAAGATCATGTGCGCCTCTAATGAATGTTATTTTTAGCTCGGTACCGTTGACTTATTCTTTGATATTGGATTTTAAAAGGAGGTCACTCTGAAATGTTTATTATTGGCATTAGTTACGATTAAAAATGATGCGCAATAAGTAATAATATTACAACTTTTCTGCGCACTTTATTACCCTTTATTGTTTGTTCTTCAAGAGATAGGTATCATTATTATGAGGATCTATAATAGATGTACAGTTATAATAATCATTTAAATAGAATGACCTTGTTTACTTAGATGTTTTTATTGTTTTTTAATCGCTCACGTTATCGTCTTGTAAACAGGTTTACTGCATAATATTCCAGCAATAAACTACATACTTATGTACGTGTTATTAATTTGTATAATGCCATAAATCTTTTTTAGACACTCACACACTCATTCGTGATTTTAAACACATTATATTTCACTGAATGGGATTAAAATATAGACCAAAACTTAAAAGCCGGTGAAGTTATTTTTGAAATCCATCAAGAAATGTCTGAGAAATTATTAGCTACATATTTTCGCGTGGAACTTAAACATAGGCGGTCCCGTGACGTCAGGCCACCTGTTCAAGTTTCAATCACAATGCTTACCACCCCTATAGATGACCCACGCTGAACTGTCCCACCAAACTCAATGACAGGGGGGCGCTACCATCGTTCAACTATACGGTTTCCAACATGGCAAAAATCTGAACCAGCGATCCGGTATTGACGGTGGCGCCCCACTGTCAATGTCATCGACCGGACAGTCCAGTATTTTGGAACATTTTCGAGAAAAACACTTTTTCTTTTTGTATATGGCCAGGTCTTGGATATGTCAAAAAAGGTTACACAATTTTATTTACTAAGACATAATCTTGAGTGATTCTGGCTGAAAAATTAAAAACCACCTACTAGATTTATAAAAAATTGGATCTGTCAACAGTACTGGAACAGGGGTGATTCACTGTTTGTACTCCAAATGAATAGCGTGAAGTCATCGTTCAAATGGCGATATTTGTTATGCGCATCTTTAGAGCCCTGTAACTTCTTTATTTGTAGAGATATTTTCATGATTATTTCAAAAATAGGTGTTATTTTATTTACTTATATTGTATTTTAAAGTTTTATTAATAGAAAAAAAAATTGAATCTTCTCCATTATGTAAAAATCACATTGAAAATCATCTAAGGTACTTAAATACAATTACATCCAATTAAGAAATAAATGAAGTAAGAAACACAATGTTTGTTCGTGATTCCATAATTTGCCTGTTTTGCAATTTGAAGGCTATTCGGAGTGTTAGTTTTTCAGGGGCTTCGTTCCCATGAAACTTGAAACTTACCGGCACGTTTCACAATACGTCTTTGCGTAACAATTTCTTTTTGTAAAGCTTTCCGTTTTGTTTGTTAACGTTATGTAAGATGGTGCAACCTACCCTAAGAGTCACTGCACTGCATAAAAAATTGTCGCCTCACTACACAATTAACAACTGCAAGGTGCAGTAATTACAATTACATAATAGAGACATACCCACTACTAGACAACTAGTGCTTCCACTATTGGTGTTTACTAGGTACTTACTTAGGTGCAGCTTAATTATTGTAAAAGCGGAGCTTTCCAGCCAATCCATTTCCAATAATCGAAGGTCGGCTACGTACGGGGGATAGGTAGCTCGGCTCTCTTGGAGGGACTTAGTACTGTTCATAACTCTACGCTAGTGATGGTAGTTCTTCTAACGCAGCGAATTACGAATTTTTGTGCAACAATTAATTAAAGTAAACTGCGTCCAAACTAATTTGATTCCATTTCTTGTTTTTATTTCATATTAATTTGCTATTATAAATTACGTCGTTGAAAATGTCTCGTCAAGAGTATAATTTGTTACTTTCGCTATCTTTCAATAAAATATGCAGAAAGTACCTACCTACGTGTGTAACACATAAACATGATTACGATAAGCTCTACAGTCGCGTTTATCTTTCAGATCTCTCCGATAGAGCGTGACGAGGCAACAGACTGAGATAGGGATAGTTTTGGGATAAGGAAGATTTAAATTTAATAAACATGGATAGGGATGATGTGAAAGTTGACATCATATTTGTGAGCGGAAGCAGAGGGTTGTAAATTTCCGAGGGAAGAGTTAGCAGCCATGCTGTCTTACATGGTCCCGGTGGAGGAGAAGCCGCCGCCAGCACCAGGCAAGGGCCGGCTGGCGTTGGAGCTGGTCGGCACTCCCAGCAGCCCGGAGTCTGCCATCAGGTAATTATCACCAACATCATCTGATGGCTTAAAGTGAGTTTATATCAAACGTCCTCACTAGTGAGCGTGTATCAAATTACATTAAATGTATGACGGATTGTATAGCGCCCCCAGCGGAAACGTTCAAGAACTAAAATTTTCATGTATGTACTTTTTTAACGCGCTCACTAGTGAGGACGTTTGTTCTAAACTCACACTCAGCCCGCTGGTATTTATTTAGTCTTATCTACAGGAGCAGGAAGCTCTAATTTACTAGAGGCAAAAGGAAGGCCTGATGTTAGCACATTTTCCCCTTCAGTCACCTTTTGCTACCTCCACAGGTGTAGTCGACAAGGTTATCTTCAAATACCTGATGTATTTGGAAGCCACCACAGGCTGTAACCGCAGACACTCAAAGCACGCATATACAAACCTAAATGTTAATTGAATGAGAGACCGCATCGTCACTGCAACAGAGTTCGGAAGTCTTCATTGAAATGCATGCAACCGAGATATGTGTTGCTGCCTGCAGTCCAAATCGCACCTCTATGCTCCTCCAAGTTTTATAAAGTTGTTCTCTTATCTGTCTGTAAAATACGGATGGCTAAAATGAGTATTTATATTTGGGGCCTGTGCTCCAACAACCGGTGTTTATTATTTGTGGTTATTCCCTTATCATCAAACTGAACGAAGCATGACTGTATGGAAAACATTTGAAGTCGAGTCATAACATAAGTAGACTGGAACAAACGTAACGAAAAGCAATTGACCATTGTTTTGTTTTTCGGTTAAAATACCAATATCGTTCCATTCTTATGTTTTAGTTTCTTTTTTTGTGAACTTGTAAGAAGTAAGAAGTACAGGATACCACACATTTGTTTTTTAACTGACTGATGAAGGTAAAAAACAATTAAGCCTTTATAGGGTTCTAGCTATAAGATCACCATAATTTGAACTCTATTCACTTGTAGCGATTCGACACGTAGTCACGTTTTGCATCGTATGCAGTTTTATTAGGACACACGATGAAAATGCGTTAGTCGTGTTCCGCCGCGCTCCCATCTCTCACTTACACCTACATACCTAATACATAATAATATTGTATTTTTATATCATGCACTATTACCAGTACATTCACCATGAGAGTCTGGAGTTTTACGAAGTGCATATTCTGCGTCGGCCGAACCTTCTCGTTTACTACCACCGTCACATGTCGATTCGCTACACACTAATCATAAGGTCGACATGGAGTGAAAATTTTCAATATGAGGTGTCGATATAAACGGGGAAAAACATTAATAAAAGACCTTACATCACGTATCTTGACTTTATTCTAGTTTTTATCTGTGACTGTAGTGCCCAACTGGAGTTGACTCAAGTTATTTTTGATCTGTGGTGTTAACGTGGCGCCCAACTGTAGTTAACTTTTTTACTTTGAATCTGTGGTGTTAACGCGTTTTTCCCGCCACCAGGAAGGTGCGCACGAACATCTCGAAGGAGTCCTCTACCAGCTCGTTCGCCAGCGACCTGACGATCTCGTCATCCACGCCCACAGGAGCGCTGGACAAGCCCAAACACAAACTCCTTAGCAACGGAACCAAGCACACCTCTTTGAAAAGGTCAGTTACCCACTTTTCTATACAAGTCATTAACTCGCCGAAAAGCCAAATAGTCGGCTAGTATTTAGTGTTCCGTTTATAAATAAGAAACTGAAAGAACGGGTACAAATAGCCTAATAACATTTAGTCATTAGAGAGGTAATTCAACGCCCTTTGTTACAACGCAATTCACTTTTTAAGGAGAGCCCTTTTAGGTTGTAACAAAATCCTGCCTAACTGATTTGACGTGATCACATTGCTACGTCTATAAATAGGTAAAGTACAAAATGGTATAAAATAAATGTAGGTAAGCAACTTGTCGAATCGTTTTAGAAAATCAATAACACACAATCACATTTTCTAAAGGCACTGGAATAGCAGAAAGTAGGTACTAATTAACATGCTCATATTATCTACACAATGTATCATTGATTGTTTGTTTTAAATTGATATTCGAAATTTCGAAACGATCTAGTATATTTTTTAAATCGTAATAATGATGCATTCACAAAACCAAAAAGATAACGAACGTTGCATTGTCCCGAGGCGCCATTTCACTGCAAACGGCAGCAATCGATTTCCGCATAATTATCACAGGGCAACCCGACCCGCTTGTCGCATCTCATATTTGCAGAGAAAACGCGAAGCTGTGCCTTTGCTAACGGGCAATTTCCTTCCACAAATTGGCAACCCTACCTGTCCTCCCATGAACGAGAATTTGAAGTACTAGAATATTAGCTACTTACTTGCATATCGATTGGTTTAAAGAACTACAAACGCTAAAAACATTAAACAGCGAAATAAAATAGCGTGAGTACCTACACATAAAAGATCTGCGAAAATTATTATGAAAAACTTTTTACCGAATAGATAGCGGATGCATTCGTTAAGAACTTTCAAAACAATTGAATTCAATTCGTGATATTGTTCTGTTACGTTATTGTTCAATATTTCATAATACACTCGCGAGCAAAACTATGGAATCAGTTACATGAAGTTGTTTCCACGCGAACTTGTGTACTAACGAATTTGTTAGTAACAAAAAAAGTAGCACCATTTTAAAGATTAAACTTTTATCTTTAAATTGATGCCAAATTCATTTAAATCACACCAGTATTTAAAAAGATATCGCGGCTGATGTGAAGAAGTAACGAAAAAGACATGTATGAACTGTTTGATACGTCGCGAGTTGCGGCCTATTTACCCACTATAAAAGCACGCGTTTTTAGATTTTTGCTTTCATACGTTGATTCATACACATCTCCGCTTCTTTTGACATTTTACCTGGGATTCTACACCTTCAGAAGCAGCACAAATCGTTGCACTATTGCAAGAAAGGCTCAGCCAGCGGGCTGTCGCACGTCAGCGCCACATAAGCCAGTCCTGGGTTTCGAAAGTTTCAAGACGCTTTTGGGAGACTAGTGGCTTTATCTCGAGACCAAGTTCTGAACAGCGCCGGTGCACATCGCAGAGGGAAGACCGTTTTTTCATGTCAACCTCTCTATGAAATCGTCATTTGACTGGAATCGATGTCCATCAAGAGCTCAGAAATGTTCGTAAGATAGCTGTTAGCAAGTGGACAGTTCGTCTAAGATATAAGCAATAGAATTTGACTCCAAAAAGGCCTGCCACAGGCTCGAAACTGACGGCAGGTCACCGATAAGCACCCTTTCAATTTGCTCGTACACATCTCGATGGGAAGGCGAGTAATGGAGGCGAGTTCTGTTCTCCGATGAATGCAAACTGTGTTTGCAGGGCAGCAGTCGAAGAGGTCGGGTTTATAGGCGGCCTGAGGAGCGATTTGTGCAGTGCTGGTTCGCTGAAACAGTGTCTTATGGGGGTGGCTTGCTCGACTTAACATCGAGATGTGTACGAGCAAATTGAAAGCGTACTTATCGGTGACCTGCCGTCAGTTTCGAGCTTGTGGCAGGCCTTTTTGGAGTTAAATTCTATTGCTTATGTCTTAGACAAACTGTCTACTTGCTAACAGCTATCCTACGAACATTTCTGAGCTCTTACTGGACGTCGATTCCAGTCAAATGACGATTTCATAGAGAGGTTGACATGAAAAAACGGTCTTCCCTCTGCGATGTGCGCCGGCGCTGTTCAGAACTTGGTCTCGGGATAAAGCCACCAGTCTCCCGAAAGCGTCTTAAAACTTTCGAAACCCAGGACTGGCTTATGTGGCGCTGACGTGCGACAGCCCGCTGACTGAGCCCTTCTTGCAATAGTGCAACGATTTGTGCTGCTTCTGAAGGTGTAGAATCCCAGGTAAAGTGTCAAAAGAAGCGGAGATGTGTATGAATCAACGTGTGAAAGCAAAAATCCGAAAACGCGTGCTTTTATAGGGGGTAAATAGGCCGCAACTCGCGACGTATCAAACAGTTCATACATGTCTTTTTCGTTACTTCTTCACATCAGCCGCGATATCTTTTTAAATACTGGTGTTATTTAAATGAATTTGGTATCAATTTAAAGATAAAAGTTTAATCTTTAAAATGGTGCCACTTTTTTTGTTCCTCACAAATTCGTTAGTACACAACATCGTGTGGAAACAACTTCATGTAAGTGATTCCATACTTTTGCTCGCGAGTGTATTATCAGTTTGTCTCTGACGCATCGTTCAAGTATTAAATTAAATGATCTTAGGTATAATTAGTTAATCAATTCTGCTTATGTTCTAATAACCTATTTTTAGGTCAAAACCCAAAATAGAAGCTAAGAATAATCATACAATATTCATAACAGTATAAGAGCCAGTAGAGGTAGGTTTATAATATTTTGGCGTTGACCATCAACTTTTCTTATTAAGTACCTCAATGTTTTCTAACATCGTTTGCATTTCTTTTACTGAGAGTGTGTATTTTAAGCCTAACATTTTGCCATGACAAAATTGAAACAATGCAAAAACAATCAACTAAATTGGCAATTTAAATGTGAACATAGAATCAATGTGCGCTCTATTATATTCGCAACTCAGTAATGATCGGAGTGATACATTGTCCCCGGGGATACAATAAAATGAAACATTTTAGTAATTATACTCTTAAATACCGTGTGTGACATGTAGTTTAACAGCTAGCCGCAAATTGATTGCAATTTCAACTTGTAGACACGAAACCCACAAGCGATTTTAGTTATTTGTATGACAAACTCTATTAATCACGTCCAGTTTGGAATTACGATGTAATATTGCACATCAAACAATAGCTTTTACATTTATAAAATGTGAAACCGAGTAATTTATTATCAAAAATGTATAGTTACTTTAATTTCGTTGCATTGCGAGTTTTTGTACCAACTATTATGCCAAGAAGCATTAATAAATAATTGGTCCTGTCTGAGATGATTTACCTGCCTCAAGCAGCCATCTAATGCAAAACTCATTAACAAGAACATTATTAATGGACTTATAATATATTTCATGGTACCCACTAATTTATCAATGTTTAAATCATAATTATTATCCATTTACACGAAGATCTTCGATTCAAATCGCTTGCATATCTCGATTAAAATCACTCTACAGCCTTCAATGATTGCCCTGGACTAAGGTAGTCCTTATCATCCCAGGCATCAGGTAGTCGCCTGGGTATTTTCGAAAGCCATGATGTATAAATTTCCAACTGGCAATCTGGCCTGGAAAATAAAATATTTTCAGGTAAAAGTAGAGCCGTTCCCGTTATCTGTAATATCCTGTGCTCAATTTTAACAGCTAAATTCAAAGACATCTGGGTCATGTTTTCAAGACGACGAGTTTTTAATCTCGTCCTTTCAGGTGAACTGGAGCCTTTACTCTTGGCGAGCATTCATGGAAGCATCTTTTAAAGTTGCCCAGTGGCCAAACATACAACACTCGGTTCCGTAAATTCCGAAACTAAACGGAAAACCTCTACATTCGTCTAAAGTTTTGTACTGTCAGTTTTTTCACTTAGCGTCAAAGACAAGCCATTGCAAAAATGCAAATGAAAAAGTGTATTGGATCATCATTTAAGTCGATGAACAGAGTACAGTGATCTCTACATTTAAAAAATACGCATATACCCTACCAACTGACGAGCACGGCCAATTATTCAATTGTTCTGAAGAGGGAGTAAATAAGTAGAAATGCAGGCAATAAATAAATAGATCACTAACTTCGAAGCCAGCCATCCTATGAAGCCAGTTGACGTGACTGGCACCGGCTTCAGAGACTTGACCAGTTCTGTTTTGGTGAACACCTGATGTAGAGCTGACGCGGCTTCCTGACGAATTTTGTCGGACTCTTCTAGTGCTTTTCTGTAAGAAAAGTTATTAAAATGTGGGTAAACGGCTTTTAAATGGTATTATTAGGTATGTCGACTATTATACATATAGAAAATATGATTGATTCGTCATTCCGATGTCTACTCCGATGTGAATCGTAATCATAAAAAAAAACTTAAACAAATTATTTTAACTGAAACTCTTTTATTCACAGCGAAATTAATACACATTTTTAAAGAAATTCAAAAAGCAATATAATAAGCAGTAGCGGCGTAAGGGGGGGCGGTGGGGGCGGTCCGCCCCGGGTGCCAAGCATCAGGGGGTGACACAAGTCGCGCAGATTAGTACTCACTGGCGCATCTGCATGGCAAATCTGCGGTCTATGTCATGATACGGGGGGGTGGGGGGTGCGATTGGCTTTCAATCTTCGAATCGGTAGGTAACCCCAAAATCCTGGGGGATACCAGGGGGTGCCGTGGGACTTGTGACGGGGGGGAGGGGGGGTGATCGCCCCGGGTGCCAACCCATGCTACGCCGCCACTGATAATAAGCTAAAACTTTATACGTTACACGAAACATTTTCAGAATATACAACGATAAAAACTCGAAGCTCAATTATTATTTAATATTTTGTTTCTGTACTTAAGTCTTATTGAACGATAAGTAATCATCGAAGGTATACCGAAATGAGAGCACCCAACAAGAGGCTTAGTGCCTCCTCCTATTCGAATTAAAAATACACAGCCCAGTAAATAATAAACAGAGGTCATTGAATTCCAACGGAGTTTCAGCGAAGAATAGGCAATGTCGTTATTACTAAAACCTTTTGGCGTAAACTTGGACTTTAGAAAGTTCGATTTAAATTGTTATTTGTATCGATCTGTGAGCTGTCGATTTTGTATGGCGATTTCAGCGGTCAAAGGCGTTATTCGTGAACAAGCAAAGATCGTGACATTGGTTTCGCGTGATAGACTTGATGTGCGTGGCGTCCGCGCACTTTGATCTATAAATAAGTGATGCCCGATACGCAGTTAAATACATTTCACGGCAATACAGATTACGATAACATCGATCCCATCAAAAACAATACTTGTCAAAAAAACCAAGTCTCGCAACTCAGTTGTTCTACGGTAAAAAGTTGTGAGATCCATGTAATACCAAGTCCAGGCCAGGAAATCTTTAACGTTTTACATAAATTATTGACTTGGCCATCGCACTAAATAATTTAATTTACACGTGTTTTCATGCGATGGCCAAGTCAATATATTTATGTAAAACGTTAAAGATTTCCTGGCCTGGACTTGGTATTACATGGATCTCACAACTTTTTACCGTAGAACAACTGAGTTGCGAGACTTGGTTTTTTTGACAAGTATTGTTTTTGATGGGATCTCATTTCTTTTTGTATTTTGTAGACAGCAGTTCTTTATGTATCTAGAAAACTGGACCGAAAATGAAAAATTTTACTCGACTTGGCGGTTGCACTACCGTGCCCCCAAATATTTTAGTTTTTCCTTGATTCATACACCAAACACTACTTATATTCCAAATTTGAAGCTTCTAGGTTTGCTAGAAGTGCCTTAGAGTTTTGATGATCGGTGAGTCAGTGAGTGACAAAATTAAGAAACTTTGACCCGTTATAATTCTTAAACTACTGGTTCAAATTGAATGAAATTTGAAATATACCGTGTCTTTGCAATGAATAAATACATGGTTACTGAAAATTCAGTCTTCTAGTTTTATCCACAACGAAGTTACAGGGGGTCGAAAATGGCCTGAATTGCTTCGAGAAAAGGATGGTACGGCCGTGCCGCTTTTTTGCTCGACTTGGTGGGGGCACTGCCGTGCCCCCAGATAACGTGATTTGACAGGAGTATGAAAATAAAAATTACTTATTAAACAAACAACTTACAGACTGGGTTTGCTAACTCATTCAAAGCTTTTTTCTCGTAAAAAGATAATCATACGCAGCAGATCATTGGAATTATAGATATCTATGGAAGGATACGGATTCTAATTAATTTCTGATTAATTTCTCCCTTTTTATCGATAATTAGATAACAATTAACGATTAAATTTAAATAAATAACTAATTTCCTTCCCCTTCTTTGTCACTATCTACTAGTATCTACGCATAGGCTGTCACTGCAAGATTAAAAAATCTGACCCAGTGGAAAACTTCTGAAAGCTTTGGTTATTCTTTTTCCTAGACGGTAGAGCATAACCAGTTTATCGATAAAACGATTACACGACGGGCATCCCTATATCGATGCAGTAGCGCGGGAGCTGCAGCGCACCAATCGACTGCAGATTACTTTATCGCCGTTTTATTGGTTTACTGGTGACGCCGTTAATTGTTCAAAAGCTAATTCGACTCTATATTTTTTCTTCCTTTCCTTTCCATTCTCGTAGCTGTTCGTTACGGGTAACTTTCCTATCTGTAGACCGCTATATTGTTCAAATTCACGTTTTTATAGAATCTGAGGTAAACGGGCATTTAGGTCACCTGATCGTGAGCGATACTTGTTGTTATATTTCCTGCAACTGCTTATTTATTATGTGTAGGGTACAAAATAGTACTACATATCTATTTTTCATTTATGCCCGCAAGTTGGTGCTAATTTTATGAAAGGGAGTTAAAATGTATGTTTTTATGATCTATGTAACGGAAAACAAATAAATAAATTATGAACGAATGCATAATTATAGGGTTCCTATAGGCAATAATATCTACCTGGAAAATGGTGTTTTCTAGATGAAAATAAGAAGTTTTAATTTTATGGCACTTCTATCTACTATGCACCTCAAAATTAGACTACGTCCCTAAACTAATTTCTGCATCTAAAGCATAAAACAACAAATATCGGAGTGACAAAAGCGGCAGCTTAAGCTAATAAAAGAAAAAACTTGTACAAGGAGCTGCCATTTGACATTGGCAATTTTGCGCCTTAATTTATTTATTGTCATACAAAAACACCAACAAAGAATTCCTGACAAAACTGCGAAGCGCATACGACAAAAAGCATTTCTATTTTTTATCTAATAACTCGCCGGTTATAATCTTCGAGGCCGTGCGAGCTAGCACGTCAAAGCCGATTTAGCGAACTAATAGAATTTCATTTTCCTCTTTTAATACTGTTTAGATGTCCGCGGGCACATAATAGCAGAGCAGAGCATTAAAATTTATTATTATTTTATGCTTTACCTAGTTTCACGGTATTGCTCCATGAATTTAATACATTAATGGGGAAACTGCGGTCAACAGGACTCTACATTTCTATGCATTTTGACGTTCTATTATTCGCTGTTGTTAATTATTATTTGAAAGAACCAGTTCGACCAAAAATTGAGCAAGACAAAATAAATGATCATAGAAAAAATAAGAAATGAAGGTGAAACAAGTGACAAAAAAAAACAAGTGACTAACGGAAAAACATCACCATTCCGTTATGTAATCGGATGACCGTGAAAATTGTAATGGTCATACGAATGTAGCCTTTTGTATCCATTATGGAAAAGTAGATAAGTGGTTTCTCCTGAATGTTGACTGCTTAGATCAGTCCCTGGTAGCATCAATTAGCACAATACATGATCTATTGCGTCGTGCCCCAATTCTGGAAACAATTGAACGGACTCGCCTTAACCCAATTAAAGCAAGTGGTTATAGATTGTATTGATTGGGGCATGGAGTTTTTCCGTACTAAAATGGGAACTTGGGAACCGATAAAAGCTGTAACAAAAACCATAGACAAACAGCACGGTGGCACAACTAATCAACTAAAAAAACAATGTTTTGACGCCAGCACATAAAAAATATGTTAACGTCAGTTGATTCTATCTGATACGAGCTCGTCCAACAATCGCCTCAAAGTAAATTTTATTTTAAATTTTAATAGTTAGGTATGTTGAAATGTAACTTTTAGAGCGTACCTATTTTTTTTTACAAACGCGCGCTACCCTCACGGTAATACTATCTATACAGTATTCCAACTCGGCCATATTTTTGAAATAAATGTCAACAGCCGCGCGGTACGTCACGGTATGACAACATGCGATAGGGCTGCCCACCTACAGTACCCATTCTAATTACATCTGTCTACTTAAAATTTCTATCTAGTTTTGCGATTGTAATTTTTTTTTATTTATACAAACAAAATACTTTGTGAATGGAATAGGATAAATATGCGTGTTGTTTAGTGTTAGTAGATTTAATTTAAAAAAATATACTAAAATAATTTTGAATCTACTAATCATAATGAGTACTTAATGACCTGTTACTTTAATTTCAGGCGGATGAAGTCGTGGGCAAAAGCTGGTTTAATACAATATAATTTTTATTTCAAATCAAACTGACTGAAAATGACCATTTTTGACTGTCAATAACTTGTTTTTTACAAATTTGACCGTAAATGACGGTAGTCAAATTCAATCACCTTAGTCATTTTCAACACTAGCTAGGCCATCGACGTCCGTTCGGCACGTTCGCGACACCCCTAACCATAACTTTTGGATTTCGACCGCGTCCCGAGATTTGAAATTCGAAGGAAAGCTCGCGTTTCGTCGGTTTATATGAAGTTATAATACTGTATGATATTATTACCGTGCTACCCTGAAGTGAAATTGTACAAAATTTGCCGTATTACAGCTATAAGAGTAAGCTTTGCTATAGAATAATTGTACTGTCAAGCGGAACTCAATCCATTTTAAATACATTAATTTGCGACCATGTGACGTTGATAGGATATTGGCAAAATATGAAGTTTAATAATAATTGATGCTGCTATTAATAGCGTGATCCATTTTCATGTGGTTGGCGGTCTTGAATTTCTACTATAATGTCGATCAGATACGTTTTTTATACTCGTATTGATTGAAATTGTTTCACAGTAATTGCTTCTACTCTAGTAACTAACCAAACTGGGAATAAATACACATTGTTATTGAAACCAGAAGCTCAGAGTCTAATTGCCTATTGCAGAACGAAGCTTAAAACTTAATTTAATTAAAGTCAAACATAGTTTGAAGCTTTTGATTGAATCTCAATATTTAGACCAATCACAGAATTCATGACTAAGATTTACTTAGCCGAGGTTTGAGTGTTGTTTTGCAATACGAAGACCCTTAACGTGATGCAAATAAACGGTTCTATTCCCACCTTTCACCGCTGCAATTCCTGTGTAGCCAGGATCTACAGCTTCGTTTTCGTTGCGTGTCCAATGATGTTTAACTTTCCCCCGGGACAAACTTGACCATCACTGGTTGAGTTTTTATTGGCGGTGATATAAATAAAGTTTAAAATAAATACTGACTTCCTCTCGTCCAGTAGCCAGCTCCACCGCTCGAACCACTGCTTGCGGCAGATGTCCACCTTCTTCCACTGGGCTCGCATTTGGAACGCCTCCGTGTTGGGGTCGAACTTGGGGTTGAACTCTTTTGTGGTTGCCATTATTGATGTATCTATCAAGCAAGAGACAAAGAAAATTACAAACTGTTAATTGTTTCTTTTAAACGCTCATCTTGCGTATGCGCATTACTAAGATAGAGGATCTATAAGGTGCAAATAATCACTGTACATATTTTAATGGGGCCAAGTCATATACATATAGCTATATTTTTTATTACTTCCCCGTAAAAATGATCAGCTGATTGATACTAGTATAGAAAAGTGGATAAAATATATTATATTATGAGCCAAATATCATTTGATGTAAATGACTGAGCCTTCTAGATGTACTTCTGGCATGAACTCTCATGCTCGCGCACTAACATTTTCCTGATGCGCGATTGTTTGCGTTGTTGCGAGGGATATCAATCCGCGGCATCTACATACGGACACACGTCGGGCAAAGGATTCAGAACCTTAACGGTAGATCAGATGTCACACATGTACAATACTAATCTTCTGAATGGCTTAACAGATGAGGGTAAAGTAGGTTGGTGATATTACTAAAAATGTTTGTACTATGCGTCTAGCACACCAGTGCCCCTTGTAGCTTAAAAATACCCTACCTGAAACTTTTTTCAAGTACATAAATATTCATCATCATGCTGCGTCCTATGCACCATTGAAAAAAAAATATCGCGGGCCCATAACTAATCAAGCGATTCAGTAGGTAGGTAAACCAAAAATAAAAGCAGGAAGGAAAAATAAGCTAAGGAAAAACCAGGAAAATCTCAGACAATCTTGTGATATCTTAAAACACATTTGAATCTAATTTTCCTACCGGACTTGTTATGTTGGCATTAATTATACTTAATACATAAATTGGTGTTTATTGAACTAAATACATATGATAAATAACTAAAGCAAAGCAAGCACTCAATTGCTTAGGAAAATTATTGCGGTCATTCATCATGAAAGTTAAACACGCGTAGTTAACTAGAATTTTCTTAACAAAGCCGCTTTATACAACAAAGAGTTTCCTATTACCAGCTAGAGTGGGTGGTGGAAACGACGGCGCCTGAATTAGGGTTGCCAAGTGTCCGACTTTAGCCGGACATTTTGACTTTTTAAGAACGTGCCCAGCCAAATATTTTCTTGTCCAGCCGGTCCATGTTTTGTTAGGCTTTTATGTGACTGCCGCGCCAGTCGAAACTTGCCATGACGCGATTTTTTTATTTTGAAATATTTTTCCGGTTTTAGAACATAATTAGGGATTTAAAAAGCTATGATTAGGTATTAAAAAAGGTCTATAGGTAAGTATAGGGGATTTTTGGGTAAAATGACAGGCCGAATTAAGCAACGAGTGCGGCTTTTGTGTTTTTGGACGTGGCAACCCTAGTCTGAATGGTTTTCGCCGTGAAAGAGAGATGGGCTCTTGTTTCTGTTACTTCTAACAATTTTATTCGCAAGAAAAGCTGTCATTTACACAATATCCGCTTCTTCTTAGAAGACAGTTAATTAGTTATATTGATCAATACTTACAGGATGTACGGCCACGCGTTGTAATAAAATATAGACAGATACAGATACAATATGGGCAGGGCACATAGTACGCAGAACTGACGGCCGATGGGGCAGAAAGGTTCTGGAATGGAGGCCGCGTACCGGAAAACGCAGCGTGGGACGTCCACCTACAAGGTGGACCGACGACATCGTAAAGGTAGCAGGGAAGCGCTGGACGCAGACCGCTGCCAATCGATCAACATGGAAAGCATTGGGGGAGGCCTATGTTCAGCAGTGGACGTCCTATGGCTGAAATGATGATGATGATGATGAGATACAGATAACATAGAACTATCCTCTACAAAGATGAACCAAAACCAATAAAGAATACATTTTTAAAACTCTTTGGAAGATTAGTACTTACCTAAACAATTTCCTTCGACTAAATAGCTATTTATGTATTTTCTTGTGTATATTTGTGTCATATAATTTATTCATTCATTCAATATTGGAATGTTTATACATCTTATATCTGAATAATAAGTTAGCAGACTTATTGTAGTTAGTCCAGTCATTTAAGCTTAAATTAGGTAAGAATCTCGGAATTAGAGATACCCAGCTGTAAGTCTGTAAATACTTGTATATTGACACCCTAAAAGTTGTCTCAAAACCTACATATGGTAGGGTGTAAGCAACTATTAAATTTTAAGGTCAAAAGTCACAAAAATCGGTTTTTTGCCCTTTTTTTGGAAATATCTCATTTCCTATGGGTTTTTTGCTATTTGTATTTATTATCAATATTGTAGAATACTAAATTCTCTACAAATTTTGTTTAAAATTTTTTTTTATACGGTGAACCGTTTTCGAGATAGAGGGCGGAGAGCGCGCGGTCACTGCATCACTTCAGGTCAACTTAAGCGGTTTAGGTTTTTCATACAAAAGCGGGAACAGGAATTAGCGGGAAAATCCTTTTGTATGAAAAATCTAAACGCTTAACGGAAGTTAGACGCTTGAAATTTGGCATGTAGGTACCTTAGTAAACTCAAAGCTTAGTTACAACAAGGAATTCCCGAAATTCCCACAGGAATTAGCGGGAAAATCCTTTTGTATGAAAAATCTAAACCGCTTAAGTAGACCTGAAGTGATGCAGTGACCGCGCGCTCTCCGCCCTCTATCTCGAAAACGGTTCACCGTATAAAAAAAGTTTTTAAACAAAATTTGTAGAGAATTTAGTATTCTACAATATTGATAATAAATACAAATAGCAAAAAACCCACAGGAAATGAGATATTTCTAAAAAAAGCGCAAAAAACCGATTTTTGTGACCGTTGACCTTGAAATTTAATAGTTGCTTACACCCTACCATATGTAGGTTTTGAGACAACTTTTAGGGTGTCAATATACACGTATTTACAGACTTACAGCTGGGTATCTCGAATTCCGAGGTGAACTTACTATAATGACTGGACTAAGTGGCGAGAGTTGCTTATGTGCATATTCAGGTGAAATGAATGCATTACTTTTTTGCAATGAGATTTTACTAGAATAAGCTGAATATGTATCTATCATTGTAGAAGTGTCGTATGGGCTGTTATGTATACAGAATCTTCTATTTATTCCTGACACCACTTCAGGTAGGCAAATAAAGTCTAAACAATTTGTGTCCTGCGGTGCACGCAAACATCTATTGGAAAATTTGATTGAATCAAGAAAAACAAAAATCTGTTTTCCCTACAAAATACATTTGTTTAGAGAATAGGCATTATTAGTAATTTGTTAAGAAGAGTTGGCTACATAAAGTCCAGCGGAGGATTAAATTAACGACCCTCGAATCGACAGACTGACACTTTCACTTTTCAGCTAATGGTCGTCTTTCTACTTATCTACAATTCATGTACCGGCAACATTAGTTTTGGATATGAATGAATTAATTACGCACCGCTAGTACTTAGCCATAGTGCATCATTCATTAGCCTAATAGATGGCCAAATTACATAATTCCTGATCAAGTGGCTATATCACAAGAGCCAATAGAATCAATTTTGAGCCAGTTGATGGTGAGGCCTAGGACCGTAATCATATTAGCGTAACCCTATTACGCTGCAGTGGAGCCAGGCGCTGTATAGTGCACTCTCACGGACCTTTTGAAACAAGACACCATCTCAAAGTGAAGGTACTTGTAACAATATCCTGCTCCAGTTTTAATTCTAGCATTAAAGGCACAGACTTCATTACTTGTTCTTGGATTTGTCCTTTTCTTGGGACAGGATGACTTTATCGAGAAGTTTTTGGGAAACTTTCTGACAAACGGGGAAAAAACACATCTTACAGACACGTGAGTTTTTGATAATAATGATAATGTAGGTTATACATATTATTAACTATAGGTTATTTCAAAGGGACATTCTCAAAAGAGATACCGAGTCCCGTATTACCATTACTTAAGCCATATAACATTATGTTTGTACCTAATTAGGTATTCCATAGTAAATTATAGTTTGGTAACGAAGTAGGTGTAGCTAAAACAGTTTTTAGTGTATTTTTTGCAATTTTAATGATTACCCGTAAACCCTAGACTGTAGTCACTAGGCAAGGTGTAAAGCTCCATCAAGATTAGTGCACACCCTTGTCAGGGTAGTGTAATGTAGTGGTGCAGCCGTGCGTGTCGTGCTGAGGACCCCACGTAAGGCGGAGTTGCATGCAAGTTTAATAAATTCCAACGCACGTCACCGTCTAACGTCTGTCCTTTGCTGTGGGCTCTTTTACCCGGTGTTTTTGAGTTAAAAGATCCCAGGAGTGTTACCTACTTGATTTTTTACCCGATTGTGCCAGAAGGGTTGTTTTTGCGAATTTTTATATATGCGCGATATCAGGTTCAGGTATAATGTAAATGGAGTTGGACAGCGTATTATTAGTGGGAAAGTAATAAAAAAATATCAGTGACATTTCATAACATGTTTTTGTCGCTACAGAAAGTTTTACACGAACTTATCTCGGAACTTCATGGTCGCGTCGCGCCCGTGACTTTTATCAATGATAAGAATTTCTTGCTGCAGTTTCAGGTATCATTGGTTTTTTGAGTCTGTAAACTGATTAAGCAAAAATAAACAATTCTCTTTTTAAATTCTAGAGCAAAATTAAAGAAAGGTATAAATATTGATTAAATATTTCACGGGAATAAAGTTGTTGGGAAGTGAGAAGTAAGACCACACTGAAATACGATTCAATAATTTAATTTATAAATGTAATTTTAGGACTCAATAACACATCTGCAATAGTTTACATAATAATAATAATAATATGTTTACATAATATAAGTAATATAGCAGTGAAGAAGTAAACGCTGTCTGGTAAAACTAAAACTGCATAACCTATTCGCTAATTCCTAAATTCATAACTTAAAGTGCAGTAGGTAAGTAATCATTAAGCGCATTGAAAATGCATTCGGTGGAAACTTACCAAGTCTTTGCCCGACTTTATAAGTAAACGTTCGCTATATTTCTCGGAATATAACGTTCAACACTCCATTACATTTTAAATCATGCTGTGTTGTCAAAAGCAACCGCCAAATAAAATCACAAATTGTATTTCTTGGAAACGTAAGCGTGATCTACAACAGGGATGTTATGGATATCCGTAACCGTAACCGAAACTTTCGAATATTCGAAATAAAAAAATATCCGTAACCGTAACCATAACCGATTCAAAGGTTTCGGATAGTTTCGGATGTAGGCAGAGTCAAGCAAGTCCCTACGCTTATTTAATGATTGCATATGAGTTTTTTTCCTTAAGATAAAAGCTTTTTTGTGAGACCAAAAGAAAGTGACAGATGCCAAAGAAATCTCTTCTGTACCCATTCTATTCGTTAGGCATGAACTATTGGAATTTGCATTCTATTCTTAGCACAGATATGTGTAACCGTAACCGAAACCGGTATAATATTATTCCAATATCCGTAACCGTATCCATAACCGAAACTACATATCCATAACATCCCTATTACAAGAACCGTTCGCGAGTTTGGCTGTAGTCGCCAGACCTAGTTTTTGTAGTCGCACTATGTAGCACAAAATGATAAGTGTACGCACCTACCCACTTTCGTAGCTGCAATTAAAATCTAGGTCAATGCCCTGCCAGAGATTGTTATCATTAATGTCAATAGGCAGTGCTAACTTGAGATGAGCCTTATAATGATAAATCTTGTATATTTTAGTTACTAAAACTACGCAAATACAAAGTAAACACATCTTTGTCTTATGCACGTGTTGTCTTAAGACAAGCGCTTTCAGCTTTACTCTTGAAGCGACTAGCTTAGCTAGCCCTCTTTAAGTGATACATTCTGTTTCAAAATTAACAGCTAAGGAAGATTGAATTGAATATTTTGCTCTACTTTTATTGGATTTTAGCACACTGTAAAGTTCACCATGTAGATTAACTGTTATGCAAGTGTTATAGCTAAAGTAGGCCAGATAGCAGCAAGAATGCTAAACAGATAGCTAGGAACGGATACGGAACTAACATTGGGTTAAAATTACGTGACCATAGACACAATAGGTCGATGTGAAAGTGCCAACGGCAATGGACATGGACGCAGTTCTATTAATCTAGAGCAGGCAATAAATAAGGACTAGGTGTTTGTACCTACATATTATTTTGATTATCAAAGAAAACAAAAGATAGATTCGTCAAGAGATACTAGATGGATTTCGATATGATGAAAACTACGTCAATTTGAGGCAAATGTAGGTAATGTAAGGTAAGTAATCGTCTTTGAAAAACATAATAAGTAATAAGTAGGTACAACAAGGCTTCGTGTCCACTTTCCAAGAAATAACTTCACTTCACATTACATAAATCGGAAATTGTCGTACGACGTCCAACTGTATAAATAATTCATTGAAGGATAATTTGCCGACGAAGGCTTCCACCTACCATCACTTAATTTCACGAAACTCTATTCTGCATGTAGGCAATGCATGCTGGAATTAACGTAAAGCTACATCGTCTGTAAATAACGATAATAAATATGAATGGAGAAGATCAAACTTACATTTTGTAAAAAATCTAAAATATTTATAGCTCCTCGCGCTCTTGTCACTTTTGTAATATTATGACACATACCGTCAATCATCTTTCAAAAAATTTAACAATTTTTTTTCTTATTTATGTAAACAAATTATAAGGATCCTTACAAATACGTTTTTTACTATTATAACAATCTCCAGCACTCGTTAACATTTCTCATTTCAGTTCGATCTTACAAGGCTTTATTATTGAAAATTACGAGATGAAGCTCAGTAAGAAAAATGACTTTGTTCAGCAAAAAATAGTATTTAGCTCTAGGCAAGGGGAACTTTAACAATGTTAAGGTCAATCATAATGCAGCGGGGGACTACTCAAGTGTTCGGAGATTGACACAACATGGAGAGTAGGGAGAAAGCAGATGAAGGAAATTTGCTATTCAAGCTCAGAACATCGAGGCAAATTGGAGCGGACGTAGACTAATGGCCATGTCGGTTTGGAGGTGATTTACTTCTTGAACTCTGTCATCTTAATAAACACCATACCTACCTGTAAAGTCTACAGGTACAGTTTGTAACTAAAGTTAAAGTACACGTGAATCGAAAGTTCGCAACCTTCGAGAAATGCACCATATCGCGCTTGAGTTATTCATGTAATGAATATGCAAGTTCAGTTGCAGAACTTTGAGCACTTTGGAAGCGCTAAGTAGGTACTTATGTGAGCCAGCCAAGTTCACGCAACTTTGACGCGAATGGCGTTTCGAAGGCACATGCCATTCATGCATTTTAAACAGTTCGAATATCCGAGTCACATAACGAAAGTTACATGAGATCGTTCAGCTGAATTTTAGGTCGAGGCTAGAATTGGTCTGTCTGAACAAACGCGTAAAAAGGCTTTGTAGGGCACGTCAACTGAATTTTTGGAGGTCGTCCAGGGCCACCGTGAACCAAATCATTAATCTGCCATCAGACGCGGCGCCCCGGCGGAAATCCATCATTGCATAATGCGTAGCCTAGCTAGCTACAGCATCCATTAATGCCGCGGTTACCTACACAGTAGGTATTGTGTGTTACGTAAAATTACTGATTGAAAACATGAACCAGCGACGGACGCTAATTGAAATTGTGGCTGCGTACGTAAGCGGAGCTGTGATTCAGATGGCTATCGATCGGAGGAAAATAACAAAACAATTTCGCTCATACGAACACTAAGTATGTAAAGATTCTTAACAACGCGCAATTAGTGAAGACAAAACAAATAAAATACTTACTCTATGTGTCACTTAAGTAGATAGCTACTTGTACTAGTAAATGAGTTGTTAATATGCAAATTAGGTGATAATAATACACAATGACATACCATATTATTATAATAACCGCGAATAATTTATTCATTTTTATCATCGTCATTTGCTCGAGGTCGCTAATGTCGCGACTTTCAATGTAGTGGGAAAAGTCAATAGGTACCTACTTCATATTAAGTATACACAGCCGCTATAAACTCGTGCAAGTTTTGTCACTATACATATATCCTTCGCAATCCGGTAGCGATATAAAAAGTTGCAGTTTAACAGCCACGTCCAATGATCTCACAGATAAGTGATGTTTTCCCACGCGACTTTACGAGCAAAAAACAATTGTTGAATGCTTTCGTTCACGCTGCTTTGTTTTATACAGGGTGTCCTTTGGGAGCTCCAAGGGGTCGATGGTGGAGACCCTGATCTACGAGAGCCCGCTGCAGGAGGAGCCGGAGAGCAGCCCGCCGCCGAAGGTGCAGGAGACCAGCTTCCCCTACACGCCAGTGGAAGACGAGTACGTTGTATCCATTTCCTGAGTATGTTGATTTTCTTTAGAGCCGCGTTGGCGAATTATTTTTTATTTGCATGAGCCGGAGTGCCGATGCGGGCGGCGATATTCGAAATTCCGAGTGTCATGGATAAATTTTAATATCGAATGATTAATAAATAGGCAATAGGCATTGATAATATAATATAATCATAAAATGATTGATTAGCATCCTCATGGAAATTGCGAGAATTTATGATGATTTTTTTTTGCTTTCGACACTGAATGTAAGGAAAGAAAAACAGTATTTTTAAAACTAAAACATGTTGCATGCAACTTCTAAAAAAAATTTTATCGTAGCCACTGATATCGTTGTATGAATTTGGTTGGTAATTTTGGTCAAGGTGCAAAATAAATTCATAGTCGAGTCAAGAATAGGTAGGTACAATTAGGTTTACTAAGTAACGCGAGCAACAAATTTTAGGTAATTTATTGTTCTCAAAAATGTTGCTACTTAGCTAAGGGCGAGAAAGGGGAGTTAAAATTAAATTAGGGTAATTGCGCCGGTTTTCCGTCCAGCTCCTGTTTTCGTCCATTTGACCGACTTGCCACAAACAAATACGGAAAATTAGAATACAAACCTAACTTTCCGTGCAAGTTTGGACTTGTTACAATCTATAATATCTAAGTAACAGTTCTGCCTGCATGAAAATGTAATTTGACAAGTAATAACTCCAAAAAAATCTACGGAAGTTGCTGCTGCACACAGATGAATGGAAAACGTCGTCAAGTTAGAAAAAAAACGTGCCGGTAGGGAACTTTCATGGTATGTTTAATTACTGTTTTAGCTACGTTACGTAATGTTTTTGGCACGTATGTCTAATTATTAGCATAATAAACACCATTTTAAGGGTTTATTAAAGTTTTTGTATAGAAATCATAGATAATTAAGTGGACTAATACTAGCATAATAATTTTGCAAGATTTTGGTTTTCGTCCACGTGGACGGAAACCCTGACACCTAGTTAATATTTTTAAATATCATTTTACTTCAATGGACCTACAAAATACAATGTTTTTTCTTCCAATATGATCTTTATTGCTATTACATTAAACATTTTAGTTTACGTCCACTTTTTAACAGTGATAAACCCATAAAAACCGTTAAAAAGATGTGGACGAAAACAAAAAACAGCTTTAAACGTTGTTGTGTTTTCGTCCATGACGTCATGAGCAAGCACTGGGGTGGACGAAAACCAAAATTAGCTATTCCTGTAGATTACTTTTCGTCCATTTGTCCTTCGACCTATTGCAATATTTTCCTAAATTTAGGTAAGAAACTTATTTATATCTTTTTGATATCATTCGAAAGCTAACAAAATTACCTTTCAAATGGTATACCACAATCCATAGTTACTGTATTGTAGAATTAGTTTTAAGTTAATAATTCAACTGTACCCTTTTTTCTACACAGTGGTCGAAAACTAGCGTACACTAGGACGAAAACTAATTTTTTTGGACGAAAACTAGTGAAATCGCCTCTTTTGCATAAAATATTTTTTATAAAAAAACCCGTGGTATTTACTTATTGTCATATAATATTAACGTAAAGTAGACTATATAAGGACTAAAATGACATATGATACATATGAGTAAGGGTATTTTAAGATATTCATTTCGCATCACAAAATTGCCAACTCCGATAATTGGACGAGAACTAGCGCACTTACCCTACTTAGTTTGGAAATCTGTCATTCGTCACCATCGGAACCTACGATGCTATTAGGCTACATTTTAAACAGAAAATAGACCTTAATTACGTATTCCTACTTAGTTTGCTTAAGTAGGTAGGTACATAAAGTTTTCATTGTTCCTTAAAACCAGAATTAGGATGTTTCTGCTGTAGGTACAAACTACATTAAAGAAAATAATCCTGTTCTTTACACTCTGTTTAACGTTCATTGAGTTTGCAAGTGGTAACTGAAACACACATGGACACATAGGGGGAGCTAGATGCACACGACATTATGTTAGCAAGTAGGTAGGTACACCTAATGTATTATGTGCTGCAGTTAGTTTCATGGTCGGTCGTTGCGTAACAAGTTCATAGAATAGCGTGGATATAGACACAACTAGGCGAGTTCCTATCTGCCTTCCTCAATCAATATGGCATCGGGAGCATCCCCCTCGTTATTTCCTTGCGTCAGAGCGCACCTAATGGTCGCAAGTAGCTATTAGCTTTGTAGCTACAATCAGAATGAGTGTTTGACTCGAAGGGTGGTGAATAGTTGCTATTCACACCAATATCATTTTTCATATCGGAGTTGTAAAGTTATGACTAGAATACATTTTGGTAAGTAGGAAACTAATTAACTATTTACGGACTAGGTAGGTACCCGTTTTTATTATTTGCTGGTCTATTTTAGATTATGTTGGTGTAATAGTAATAAAGTATAAACTCTACCGATTTATTTACATATCACATTACTTTAATTTTGTTGTAACAAAAAGAAATATAGAGCGTTCCTCCTAAATTAGGTCATCGCAGATTCGTAGAGGTATGGAAGTATAAACTTAATGAAAAGGATTTTTAATTGGTTAATATTCTATATTAAAAGTAAATTACCAAGTTAAATCATTTCAAAAAATATACCTAATACGACCGACGCGCGACGAATATATTTTTGATGCGAGACCCTAATCGAACCCGCAAACTATCGCGAATAGGTACGTAATACGTGCTATGCTACTCCATCGAGTTAAAAATTTATGTTAGCTTTGAGATTCTGTAACTTTTCGCTGACTGATAAATACTTAGAATTATAAAAGTTAAGCAGGCTTTAATTAATAACGAAGTGAAATTAAAATTAACTTTTATGACTTTAATTTAACAATATTTTTTAAAATATTTCGTCAAATTCAATGTTATGTTGCTAATAAATCGAAATATCTTACGAATAGGTGTTATTGTGGATGTAATTACATTAACGTAAACAATAAAATATGTATCACCCATCCACAAAATCAGAAAATGAAAACGACAGAAACCATTCCTAATCCGACAACTGATATTCAACGTGGTGGCGCTGCTGTCGCTCCGTCGCGTTATAAATACCGTTATCGCTAACTTCACTCCCTAGTTCTCAAAGACGCAATAGTGATGTTTTGTCTAATTAACACGAAAAAGTGGGACAGTGGATTTCCATTTAAATAAGTTTTAGTGCACCCAGAAAGTACTATTTTTAATTGGCGGACTTAACGCCTTTCAGCTCTCTCTGCCACTGGTTGATTTCTAAGTTACAAAACGTAATCGCAGTACTTAAATGTTACCAAAGAAGCTGTTACCTACTTTACATTAACAAAGAAAAGTAATGGTGAATTTACAGGAGAAAAAACAATTATTTACAAAATAAATTACACCAAGTGGTTGCCTGTCTCATTATTTGATTTAATCATTATTAATGGTAAATAACAATCAAGTAAACTAATTTTACACGTAATGACAATCAAGTCTCAGTTATCCAACATTTAAGTCCTGCAGAAACCTAATACCGATATTGTTCGTTACTGCATCACTAGGCGGGCGGGGCACAAAATAACGTTATCGTCGTAGCGGTTTCATTGCTTGCGTTTCGTCGCCGCTCTGCGTTCGCTCATTCGCCACGGGCCGCGCGCGACTTCCGAGACCAACTGAGATCGATGTATAGCTAGTGGGAAACACTGTTTGTGAAGCGTCGAATGAACCAAACCGTACGCAAATTGCGCCGAAACTAATAAGTTGTTAATCAAAGTGATAACCTGTGTTAAAAAGTGGAAATTTCACAACATCACAGTGTCGTTGATAGCTGTAATCAGTTATTAAATCGCAAGGTATGGTAATACAATAATCACGTCATACTTGTTACGATTATTAGCTAATTAAGTCCAATTTGAGTTGATTTATTAGATCGCGTTATATTATTTGTCAAACAATTTATTAAAATATTCTTTGGATGTGGGATTCGTCCTTAGCATTTGCGATTTGTGTGGGAATTCGGTCAACATGACGTCACTAGGACTGATTTATAAACATAAAACTTTTGGATCATCCAGCAGCCGGGAATACAAGGTCATTACTCGGCATTTATGTAGTAAACATGAATTGGCAAACGTTTTAAAAGCTCTATTTATAATGTCACTATCACTGTTTTGTTGTGGCAGCGGGGGACCCGCCCTGCCCGCGGAGGCCGCTCCGCGAACTTGCACTGCATTCCAATTAAATCATTAGCTCTATTGTCACACCTAACTCCACTAATTCCATATCAAACACAGTCTATGCTAATTATACCTTACTTCTGTTGTAACTCCACCCTTATCAAACTTATTATTATTTATTCACAATAAAAACAATTTTACTTTACACTGTTGTTCTGCTAATCTGCTATTGAATTTAAGTACATTCTGATAGATTGTCAAATGTTTTAAATTTTATTATTTTTATTACACTTTTTCTTTTGTTTTTACTTTGTTGTTTTAATAATTAACTAGAGGTACAGAAGAGATGTTCTTTTGTTATTAATTTGGTTTAAATGTTAAATCATAATAGTGTAACTTAAATTCATAATATTGATTAATGCTTACATCCTCATCTAAGCGTTGTTATGTGAAGCACTTTTAATTTCTATTTTTCATTGCTTTTCTACACTCAAGCGAATATAATTGATTTATCAGAAATATAATTATTACAACAAGAATTATTAAGGATTAGGTAATCTACAGTGGTTTAATTTCGTCCTCTGTCTCATATGGACACACCATGTACACTCCAGAATTACATAACACTGATTGCATCATATGCATGCCTCCATAACCTAGATTCAACACGATGGATATATAAAATGTATGTAAATTCCATTAATTCAGGCACACATTTTCAAATGTGTTTTGCAAACTGATTTGAGCAGATAACTCAAATAATCTATGTAATTCATCTTGTCACAGTGTTATACACAAAAGAAAAAATACAAATCTGAAATAGGTACTAACAATAGAAGAATTAGGTGTTAATTTCCTTTATGTGCTTGTGGAAGCTCAAAGACGTCATGAAATAAGTAATCAGACCAAATCTGAGGTGGCCGATATGATACATGATAGAATTTCTTAAAAATACCCCTGGTGATAGGCTATAACTTAATAAAAAAATATGATATTTGTTTATAATTATAAGAATATCTATTAAGTAGCTTATTAAATAAAAAGCTATGCAACTAAACAGCTGTTAAAATTTAAATATAGGTAGGTACACCAATTTTAAGCTGTTCTTGGAAGTCAGCATCGGAGGTTTTTAAGAATCAAAAGCATTCTGATAATGACAACAATGATGAAATTATTAAATTCTTATTTTTTATTTTTAAGTTAAACATGCAAATTAGATAAAATTGATGAAACTATGGTAGAAGTCCTAGTCTTGTTGTGTGTTTTATCTTTACCAAAATCCATTTAAATGCAAAATCATCTCTTTAACATTTTCTGAAATAGCTGAATCAATATTGATTTGTTTGGATAGATTTGAACTTTGAAAACATAAGCAAGCCTTTTAAAAAAATAAGTAGATAGAAACAGGAAAAGGAAGTTTGTATGATGATATCATCCACCAATTTAAATAATATTAAAATGTTTCTGCTCTGGTAATAAATCGAGTTTCCGAATAGTTACCGCATTTATGATACAAGATGCGTGATAGACACTGTGACAGATGGAACCGCACGCGCGTGAAGCCTCAGGCAGACAAGCTAATCTTTGAATCGCCCAAGAGATCTATTCGCCTTCTAACCAACATTTTTATTCTAGCCTCCAATAAAATCGCTGTTGGTTTATCAAATTCTCTGTCATGTTGTTATATCCACTTTATTTGCTCAGTGTGTCTGTTAGGACGTGCTCGTGACCTTGAGGCTTGTCATTAAGCTGCACTGCGCGATATTTCTCTATTTTTGCCTGATTATGAATCATCTACCGCTAAAGGAGTAAATGTGGCGCTTACGTCAGATTTTTATTTTATTGTACTTGACGATTGGCGAAGAATACCAGACGTGCGTAGGAGTTGATGCGGTTTCAAGATCATACACTCAACACATTACAAAATTACATGCTAATGTCCCAATTACAAAATGTGTCATGAACAATATTCCTTTTAAAAACAATCGAAGAGTTCAAGTGGAAACTTGCACTTACAAATTTTCCGTCTGAACAAATGAAATCAACAGTAATTATTATTGCATATGCTAACAAGTTATTTAAGATCGGAGCTAAACAGCGCGTGGGTGTTGAATATAGTCATCTACTAATAAAGAGGAGCCTTTGAATCACCTTCAGAATTAATGCATGCTCCTCTGCCGTGGCTTCGACGTTGACCATACGTACCTACCCAACTCATTTACACTAACATTGTCTGCTTATGTGTGCAAAAGCGAAATTATTACATAAGAGTAATACACATTACAGTTGATACAGACGCTGAATTGAAAGTGAATTTCTTACAGCAGCTACTAAACATACCTACCTACTCACCAATTCAAATGATTATGTTAACAGTTACACAGTATCGACGGCAAATTACCTACTCAAATCTACTTAAAAACATATTTTTTCTGGTCGAGTAAATAGGGCGTGTATAGGTATAGTCTACCATTCATAGTTTAGTAACGTATTGTCAGTTGTAATGCTGGTCTCTACAACCGCTTAATGGTAAAGTCATTATTTGCTCGCCGTTAGAATAATGTCCACAATTTGTGAACTATGCTTGTGCCGCGGCCCGCGATACCAAAAAGAGTTAAACGTCTCCGACATAAAAGTAAACCACAGTCAGGTTTTTGGCAAGGTGTTGCCGAATAATTACTGGTCTTATTGCATATTATCTCCGATACAATTTTTGCAATAAAACCAGTTTTCGCTTACGTATACCTATTCTGTTTATTTTTTTGCTTGTGGATTTGTTTTATTTTTTATTATGTTGATGTTCAGTTTTGCTTGGCGACTGTGACATTGCGGTTGCGACTGAGTTACGATTACTAGTATCACTGCTGTGTTGTAGACGTGTTTGTAGAATAGTGCTGTATTTTGAGAGTGTGGTGTTGATTTGCAGTTCGGAGAGGTCGAAGGTCCGCGTGTCCTTCTACCAAGGGGCGCGACCGCAGTGCGTGTCCCCGCCGCCGAATCAGCAGGATTCGCACGTGTTATACGCGGCCTTGCTGTCAGCAGCTGCCAACGTAGACATGACCGACCACGCTATGTACAACAGACAGATCAGGTAAGAACTCAGTCATATACTAACTTTAGAGGACATTGCAGTCATGGAGCAATCTTGTCTGGTAGGAAATATGATTAAATTCTAAGTGAACGTTGTCCTCATCGATCTGATTCAGCCATGTCAGATTCCTGTGGTTATTCACAAAGGAACCATCAACGCTGTGAATTAAACAATGAGTAAAGAGGTTCAAGATAGCTCACGTCTAGAGATTGAACCCGAATGAAACATTTACATCTGATGGCATTAAGAAGTGAAATTCCCTGTCAGCTTCTGTATTCCAAAAACCATACAACTCAGCCTTCAAGACTCGTGAATCTTCTTGTTCTTCTTGACAAGTATTCTACACCATAGATCGCATCTGCTGCACCTCTCGGCTCAAGAGAGATTGTTATCAAGACCATGCTCCTGCAATGTAATCCCATATTTTCTCCAAACAGATGGTTCACAAGCTCTGAAGCTATGCTCAATATGATGTAGAGTTGGAAGATCATGCTTGAAATGGTACCAACTATGGCGCAATATGACCTGCTTCCAGCAGTTTATTTTCCTCTATATTTTTATGGAGACCTTCAAACTTTAATATGCATAGTTTAAATAGCGGGACTCTATAAAAATAGATTCATCCGGTCATAAGAAATTAAAAGCATTTCGTGTCGGTTCTAGCATTGAACTTGCAATGATTGCGTGATATATTATGTTGTATCGTGCAAACTCTAGTGGTTAGTGCTATGCGTGATGCGGCACCGTTCTAAACGTCCGCACTCATGCATGTGTTAATTGAGAGTAGTTTTCGTCATTCATTCCACGTGCTGCAAAAGTGGAAAGTTCGACACTCGGTGACGTTGATCCCAAGGGCTTTGATCTAACGGTAATAAATTCTGCAGTCTCGCATGATGCGCTTCACTGCACTCTCACAATTGCATCTCAGTTTTCTCCAGATTAATGCAAAACTAATGATCCCGTCTGACTACTGTAGGTATTACGTAATAAATAGTACATGCATCTTTTTATCTGTTTGCTAATTCACTGTGTGCTGCATGCAATCTAGATAAGTCACTCATTGGCCGATAACACTTTGCAACAAAAAAATATGGACTTGATAACATCTAAATCGAGCTGCGTCTACTCAGTAGTTTTATTACAGCTTTAATAGGCACTGTTTGAGAACATAACACGTTGTAGTATCAATCTATATAAAAGAAAGTCGTGTTAGTTACTCCACTTATAACTCAAGAACGACTGAACCGATTTAGCTGAAAATTGTCAGGGAGGTAATTTAGAGCCAGGAGAAGGACATAGGATACTTTTTATTCCGTTCGAAATTTTAAAAAAAGTCTGCTTATTTATTGCCATTAAGGCGGAACAAAGTTCGCCGGGTCAGCTAGTAAATTATGAAACTGCCGCTTTTGTGGGCGCATAGTCGCTAATATTGAAGTATTTCTGTAATTATCTCGTGGTTAGTAGATCGTTATGTCATCGGCAAGTTGCAATATTCGTCACTTTATAGACGGCGTTGTTTATTTGCCGGCGCTCGGTATTTTTCCGAAAACACATTTTACAGATGTTGATGCCGATTGTTTCAATTCCGTCATCTGTCTATATTACGGTATTCATGGTCAATATAATGTATAACATAATTTTTCTGTTTCACAAAGAAAGATAATAATAGAAGTTAGCGATTTATCAGGTAGTTTTCAGTGCAATGACCATTGACCTCAAAGATTATTAATTATTCTATTTATCAGGTAGTTTTCAGTGCAATGACCATTGACCTCAAAGATTATTAATTATTCTAAGTTTTTGATGAATCAGTGAGGTCTATCTATACTTCTACATTTTTTACGAGAATAAAGTTTCAAAATAGAGTACCTAACATCGCAACGCAATTTAATTATCTACAAATAAAAAACAACTTATACATAGCTGCAATAATCGAATTCGTATCTTATTGACAAACTTTTATGACCGTATGTTTTGTACTTTTAGAGCCAATTATTTTTTGTAAACGGGATCATTGCCTTCCTTCCGTTTTCTCAAATCACCGACATGCAATAAGCAAACGACATTTTACTTATGTAACGTTTGTTCTTAGGGGATCTTATTTATCTTTGTTTTATTTAATAAACATAACTAAATACAATGCTATTTATTCTGTTATTTGTAGTAATGTGACTAGGTCGACTAAATATCATTAAAACACCTTCAGCGATGATATTGCCTTGGCTACGGTTTATGCTCGGCTATAAAACCCGCCAAACGTACCTACACATATCTACAATGTTCATAGAACCTTGTTTAGGTCATACGTAGATTGTTGTGGGCATACAATGTCATCTCTTCCCATTTAAATTTCAATGTATGAAAAGCGTTGTGGGTGCGCTGCACGTTGATTAGGAACTATTTCGAGGTTCGGCGTAAAATCCGTATCATTTATCAGATTTAGATACCTACACAATATAAAGTAAGTAGCCAACATCTGAAAATGATAAGTGACTGACGTTCACAGATAGGAATACATGCATTTCAAGTGGTTTCTCGTATTCAAATTCATGAAGGTCAAGCCTGGTTACCATCAGTGAGCACTTCTTTGTAAGTCAGCAGGAAAAAGCGAGAAATAATTTTGCATAATCTACTATTCAATAAGAATCACAATATAACACGAGCTGGAAAATATTATTTCAAACCTACCTGGCCCCCACTTGTTAACGCCTTTAGTTATCTCAATACTAATACTTGTTGTTAGTTATCTATCACATTTAAATTAAAAAATACGTAAAAACGTATCAAGAGGTGTTTAGACTTTCAAAAGCAAATTCCTTTATGAGAAAAACGCGCTTCAAATACAGCCTGTTCTACCGCCACTTCAGAAAACCATATTAGCTGCTACTAGAAAGAAATTTTCCATCTCATTAAACTACAAATATTGAGATTTGAGCTACTAGCGGCCGCCCGGCCCGTGACTTCGTATGTGTGAATCCCATTTAGAGGTGGAGTTTTGTAAAATCCGTTTTTAGTGAGGTTAATGAGTGAACCTACGTTCTAAAAGGAACCCTCATGCAAAATTTGAGACTCAGCACTTGTAGTTTCTGAGATTTCGTGATGAGTGAGTCAGTCAGTCAATCAGTGACCTTTTGCTTTTATAATAGATTAGTGAGCGATTGATGTATTTTCCAGTACGGAGAGCGGATGGGACAATCCGTTCCGCCCAGACGGCGATCTCAGCCGCGAAGCCGACGAAATCGTGTCGCTGATCAAGGGCGGGAAGCCCATCACGCCCACGCCCACAGCTGCGCCGCAGCTGCCCGTCTGCGAGGAAATAGAGGAGAAGACTCATGACAACAACGTCACCGTAAGTACCAACGTTGGAGCATCAAGTGTTACCAGTTGTAGAGTATAACCACGCATCTTCTTCCTCGGTCCCTCACTGATGAGGATCGCGACCACAGTGTTCCTCCACAGACTGCGGTCATAAGCTGTGAGGACCGCACGATGCAAGATGAGGATTTCGCGATTGAAAGATCCGCTAGATGGCGGGACGTGGATGTGGGGTCTGACTGCTGCGTGATTGGTGGATTTTGACATATCTGTCAATGTCATGTCAAAAATAACCAATCATGCAGCATTTGGACCTCGCGTCTACGTATTGCCATCTGTAGGATTTTTCATTCGCGAAAACCCTCATTGATGATATAACCACGCTGCTATATCATCAATTGAAGGTAGCAACCAGCCACCATTGATGCAAATGCCATCAAACTCTGCAGCTCTGTAAGAACCTTGCAACCTTCTCTGTAAGAAGACTCATGACAACAACGTCACCGTAAGTACCAACGTTGTAGCATCAAGTGATACCAGTTGTAGAGTATAACCACGCTGCTATATCATCAATTGAAGCTAGCAACCAGCAACTATTAATGCAATGAGGGCTATCGTTTTTATACTTAACAGTTGGCACCCCTGGCGATTGACAGGACCTTACTCTACAGTGGCGCCATCTTGATGAGTGCAAATGCGATAGTCCTCCTACCACTTTAGCGCTCACAAGTTGGCGCCACTGTCTTCGCGACTAGCAAGTGACAGGACCTTACTCTACAGTGGCGCCAACTGGTGAGCGCTAAAACGATAGCCCTCATTGCCATCAAACTCTGCAGCTCCTCTGTGAGAAGACTCATGACAACAACGTCACCGTAAGTACCAACGTTGTAGCATCAAGTGATACCAGTTTCACAGCAGCAGTCACCTTTGATACAATTACATACTATCAGACACTACAGCAGCTTCTCTTTCAGGATATAGAAGAGATTTATGTACTACTATAATAATATCTGCGTAAGTAGATGCTGTATTATACTCGGCGTAAAGACTCGTGGCAAGCGGTGTAATAATAAAACAGCGCGTATCACGTTTTCTTTCGCACTCACACTGGTTATGGGTGACGTCATACAGACAGGCATTGCGTTTTATAATACGTAATAATTAATAAAATATTGGCGAATGGCGAGTGTGTATCTCTGTTTCAAAAATTACTTATGGCCCCGCCTGCCACGTCTTTGGGCCGAGTATAGTACGCCAGCATAGAACTTTGACATCACCTTGACATGCACGTGAATCCATACTTACATATTTATACATAAGACGCCTTAATACTTCGCTAGATGTGCCGAGGTCTGTACCTGCTGATAAACATTAGTGTCGTTGGTCAAGGCAACCAATAAATATGACTGTAAGTACTGATTCTAATGGGAAACAGCTGTCTTCGGGATTGGATTAGCAACAGAGGTCGGCGGTCATGAGATGAGCCATTTGAGACCCGCCCATCATTTGAAGTAAATACCAAAGTTCATACCCGCATCTATGTTACGCTAGAAAAAGTGCTTTGCTGACCTGATTACAGTTAGGCCCAGAACAGACGGTGAAACGAAACTGCAACTTCTAGTTACATTTGAGTTGCATCTAAGTGTCTGCCATAGATTCCGTTGAGACCACACATGACGCGACCAGTTTGAAACCGGTTTAGATGCAACTCAAAAGTAACTAAAAGTTACAGTTTCGTTGCAATTGCGTTTCACCGTGTGTTCTGGGCCTTAGTGCCCGATAACATTAGAAAGTTAACGAATATTGAACTACAACTGGGTGATTTGTCCAAAGGCCAATTCTCCGCCGTCGCCGCAGACGAAAGTGGCGAGTCCAGTGCAGCAGAGTACGCCGAAGGCGATGAACGGCACGAAGAACGGCGCAGCAGTGCCCGAGGCACGCGCCGGGCAGGTCGAGGTCCAGCGCTCGCAGCCGCAGGAGCCGCAGCAGCCGGAACACGTCACCATCAAGAAGAAGCCCAAGTGCAAGTGCTGCGTCGTCCAGTAAGGCCACATAGCCCCCCCCCACGCTTCACACCGGTAACACGCTATGCCTCCAGCATAATACTGCCAAACGTATGCTGCATCTATTGGACGTCTGAAGACTCTTCTCTTTTGAAATTCTAATGCGATCTTTTTTTTCATCATTTGTGATTGAACCGATATCGCCATTCGAATGAAACTATTATTATGTAGCGTGTTTTAAACATTTCATTGATTTACAATGAAGTTAAGAGCGTTTACGCCGTTTGGCGCAAAAACAGTACTTTTTCAACTCGTTACAATCATTAACCAGTAATACTACAAATATGTTATAGGCATAAATAGTTAGGCAATTTTGTCGTCTAAATAGTTAATTGAGAAAATATTGCGATTAGTTTAGCATTTAAGAATTCTATCCAGATAAGTCCACACAGGTTTTGTAAATTTCCACTTTAGCGTCAGTTTACAAGCTGAAATTTTTATAAAAACACTGTGAAAACGATTTAACAAACATATATATCCTATAGCATAGATCCTTGGGCAAATAGTTATCTGAGAAAATTTTTAGATTTAAGCATTTTACACTAAGAAATCACAAATTAAAAGAACGTGAAATACCCAAAAATCAAAGTGATTTTTTCACCAATATTCTTCCTTTATTCAACACAAAAATAGCTTAATATAATAGAAGAATATCTTATCTAAAATATTTACTTTGAAATTTAAAATAATTCATTGTAATTTTTTTTCTATGAGTATTTGAAAACTACTATAAATCGCCGCGCACGAATCGTTCAAATTCAGTCCGCCTCGAGGCGTTCTAGAGTGAGGTCACGTCGCTCGGTGCTCTGCTGACATGTGTCACGCGTACGTTGATCTTTGACAGGTAGCTGGACTTTTATAGTGTATCCGAAAAATCTTGGTGGTAGATTTTGCGATCACGTGGTAATTAAAATATTTTATTGTTATTTTTCATTACAGTCTATTTTTACTACAAATTCTATTTCAGACGTAATGAAAAATAAAATTAAGTTATTTTTAGCGATGAAACGAAAACGATAACCCACTAGCTGCCCCCGCAGCTGGTGGGTATGAAATGTTATGCATTTTCCGGATAAAAAAAGAATAGTAAACAGGAAAAGTTTGTTTTGAATAGAACCGATTTGAAAAAATCTCTCACAATTAAAATTCAAAAAATTTTCTGCTGAACATAGGCTGTATAAAATATTCTCAAAATAGTAAAAAACCTTTGCTAATTTACTATTTGATAAAGAATTTACGTATTTATTATTGATTAGGTAGGACTAATGTATACCATTATTTATAATTATGGAGTCGGTGTTGGAAGATTTGAAGATTTTATAGTTTCCTTGAGCTGTCACTTGACAGCCTGGCATACTTTTACGATGGTGGATCAAAGTATTTTGGTTTGACTATAGAGCGTGAGAACACGCACACAGTCATAATTATTTTAGTGTGAATAAAACTAGCATCGAAATTACCTAAACTTGACATGTCACGCTAGACGTAAACGCTCTTAACTTTTTATTGATATATGACGTCATACCTACATAAGATACTTTATGATGAAAAACAACTTATTTACAGTTCATACAACACATGCTGTTGTCATCACTGTTTTGTCATAAATATTTCCTTTTTCGTATGTAAGCAATAGTTTAAGGATTTTCTAATATACTATACGTATTATGTTGGAGTATGTCTAATATTTTGATGCAGTATTTTGTTAGGCAGTAAACTTTTTCGGTGTTTACACGGTGCTGTTTCATTTTCGAGCTATTCTACGTTCGTGAGTCTACAGGTCGATTTTCTGAGATGGACACCAATAGCTATGTTATGTAGAGAAAAGTTTGATATGAGCTCGTCTCTGAATACTTTTCTCTGTAGCTAACAATTTGGCCATCTCAAACAGTCACCCTGTATGTAGAAATTTATAATAGTCCAGAATATCTGTGTTCATTGTGCTATTTACATAAAAGTCTGGCTCGTACGTTTGTACTACTTAACGAGTAGTGTTTCGTTGAATAACTTACATCTATTTCGAAGTTCCGTTTTGAATTCTGTTAAGATTGTTTTTTGATAATTTTATAAGCTAAGTTTTTATTGAACTTTTTAATAGGGTACAAACTTAAAGTATTTTTGTTTAGCTAGTCTGAGGGAAATGTTTTGGACGTTATAATATTTCAGATTTGGACAAAAGTATTTCGGATAAAGATGACACGCGCGGTACAGTGCAAGTGATGTTAAGTAACTTGATTTGTTATCCTAGAGAATCTCGGCACGGCTGCGGCAAGAATGATAAGAGCTTGCTATTTAAGAGAGATTATGAAAATGCTCTAATTTATCATAATAAAATTTTAAAATGTGACAAAAATAAAACAGTTCTGCTCATTTCAAAAGGAAACATGTCATGACCTTGGAATCATGTAATAATTTATTTAATAGCTGTTACTTTAAAGTTGAATCTGTGTTGAATAATATTTATTGACAATTTATATGTATATTTTTATATCTTTATTTATACAAAAGTATTATAAAATCATACAGTAAATCATAATATTGGAAATGTCAGATGTTTATGATCTGTGGGACTACTCTTGATCATATAAATTGGATTACGAATGCTAGTTCCTTGTAGACAATTAATCGTTTCAGTAGTTGTTAGTAATAATTCGTAATAGTAGTTATCCATTATCCTGTGGTCGATCTATGATTATAGTGTTTTCAATTATAATATTATTATTATATACTTTAAACACAATAAGCTATGTCTTTGTGTTTGCTCATCATCCGTCTATTTTCATATCAGTAGTTCCACAGAAAAATGTGATTACTTGTAAACTGTTACTACCTACTGTTGTTAGTTTTTAACCTAGAACTCCTATAGCCACGCTTGCGTCCAATACTGTATACACACTAGTTGTGGCATACTACGAGATTGTCGCTAATCAGTTCATGAAATAATCAAAACAAGTCGATAAACACTTTTGATAAAATTATAGAATAAGACTGTATTTTTTTGGGTATAACTTTGTTTAGCGAGGTAACGGAAAATAATTTTGTGCAACTGGTTAGTGACAATACGCCACCATCAACAAAATCTGCTGCCAGATGTTATATATTTGCTGATGGAGGATCTAGATTGCAAGCCATTTTATGTGCATGACAAACTTCTATATAATTGAAGGATAGTTAATAAAATATGTTTAAAATATTAATTGGCTATTTTCCTTGAAATCCATCTAATATAATTAAAGGGTTTTGTATCGCTCGAATGAGGTACATATATTGATGGGATAGCAGAACAACAACCAGGGATTAATTACTATGAGATGACGGACCGGAGATCCAAGAAAGGATTAGGCAACTAGAAGTGCTCTTTTGAAAGAAATAGCATTTGATAAGGTAGATAGGGAATTAGACAGGTCATAGTTAGGATGTCTGACGTTTGAATTGTTTTGGAAACGATATTATAATTTGATGTTTACTAGGTTTTTGTATTTGGTAAATCGGAGGTACCCCTCACGAGCACACAACGACGGGGTTGTAGAGCTTGACCGCTGTCAGCTGACCATGCCTTCATTGTGAGACGTGTGAGGAAACGACCAAAATTATCACCTTCCGACCGGCTTATTGACCGGGCTACCAAATGTCCAAATTCGACTATTTCTTTCATCATAAACCTAGATTGTCGCGGTCAAGCTCTAGTACAGTTTGTGCACGCCTAATTGATGCGAATGATATACGGAATAGTGGCGTAGATCCAACTAGGATAGCTTGTTGTATATACTTTTGTATAATCCACATCCAGCTGGTTGCTTTAGTCAATCTGATAAAAAATCGTTCCGTTACTATCATTGATTCCATGTAAGCACTAACGATTGAATGAGATAGACATTGCACTAGACCATTAGGCTTCTACGATACTTGCAAGCGTCTGTTCTGCGATAGATCACCACTACGTTAGAGATGGAGGTATTCACTATTTTCTTTCTACGGAGTTGGACGATAAAGCTTTTCCAAGAAGTCTTACATTTAAAATCTCATTTTACATTCTTACGTATTTCTAGAACTTATACTGCTTGTTAATTAATGTCTTGTTATTTTTTATTATTATTTTACGACAAATAGGTCGTGCAACAATTACAGTGTGTTTATTTTGGGCACAAAATTATTGTCATAATATGGGAGTCGTCATACAATTGATAAAGTTGTATTAGGTACTACTCATAATTTTGAGTTGCTATTTATTTCTGGTGCTAATTATATTGATTTTGGTATCAGTACATTACACATTTGGTTTTCCAGTACTTTAAGGAAAATAATACGTTTTTTTATCAAGTATACCGATAACAATTATTATTTTTACCTATGTATAGATGTATGTCAATTATACTACTGACTGTTCAACATTTTTAATTTATTTAGAGCACACCATCTTAATATGTTTAAATAGTATCACGACTCCCGTGAACATAATAATGTTATGTATTTGTATGTAATTATGTAAAGTATCAATAGTAATGTCTATATGTTAATATGTGCTGTATACATTCTATAAAATTGATGTGGTCGTTAAAATATGTTTCTTAATAAAGTGTTTTATTTTTAAGTAAAATACTGACATTAAGGGACTATATTTTAAATAGTAGTTGTTATTATACCACCCTTGATGTACGATCTTCAATGATTAAAAAATAGATAAAATTTATGTACTTTATAATCAGTAATCGATTTGACGTGAAATATGTTCTTATTTCCAATGTTTTAAATACAATGTATCGCAAACAAGTAGCTGTATGTGTAATTAAAACTAAAATGACATTATATTTGTATTAAATATTTACTTTCTATTTATTATTGTCAATGAATATGTACAAATCAATTACATTGTAATTATTTATATTAAATCTTTGAAGGCGTTTCGAGCGTTATTAATTTTATCCTTCCAAAATCGATTTAATAAATCGATAAACCCAAAATAATAGAACACACACTATGGTAATTTACTGGTTAGTGTTCGCGCCTTACTTTAGTAGACTATGTATTTCTTCCACTATGATTTCATCTCTCTACATCCAAATGATTAAACCGTCATATCTCTATTCTGAGAAGAATGATTAGATCTTATTTTTTTGTCATTTAAATTCATTATGCTATAAACTGGGTTAAATTCATTAACGATAGGTTCTTGATACGAGTACATACAGTAACATTCACGTACACACAAGCAAAGAATATATTTATTCTGACGAGCACACAAGACAACAAACCTGGCAGCCGTGATGTGACATCGACGCTCATTATAATAAAGATTCAGACCCCAGACCTTAAAGGTGGAAAAGTTCTCAAAAAGGTTACTATAAAAAGCTCAATTTAACTCTGCTTTTCTTTATGGAATTGCTTTTAACATAGTTTTGTTAACCAATACCTTTCTGCGTACCTGCACTGTGACAAACTACTAGACTAAATCTGATTTTTATGTAATAATATTTGGACAATAAATTAGAAGTATTTTCCCCAACAGCCAGACAGTTTTGACAGTTCCAACTCCTTGCCAGACAGTTTTTTTAGGGTAGCTTCCAAAGTCACGATGACCCAAACTTCATAATTCACTAACATTATATCCTATATTGGGAGCATACGCTGACAAACTATCAGCTTTTATAAAATGACGTAGGTCTGGCGGGCCAACGCGGGGAGGTGCGCGGGTGAGTGCGAGGGGAGGCATTCCAGCGAGGTGCGCAGTTACCTCGCCGGGTTGTAGCGCCTCACTCATAAAACAGTTCATTTGTATGCATTTTGGTATAATATGGAAAAGACGGAAGTGACGAGTGATTCAATAAAATAAAAACAAAATAGTTTATTACAATGTTTATTAAAAAACATATCCTATAGTCTATCCAATATAGCTTGATTAGAATGACAGCTGTCATCAAAAGTAACGACATAACTTTGTAGTAGCGATCAATGAGAGCTAGATATTGGCGGACAAGAAATAATTCACGTCNATAACTAATATTTCTATAAGTAAAATAATAACTTTTTGCATAAAAATAAACATGATTATCAAAATTCTCGAAATAAGTACCTTCGCTGTGTCAATTTGCTGTTTTAATCAATGTAGGTACGTATCTTATTTAAAAAATACTAAATATTTACATATGAATAATAACCTAAACAATTATTTATTAATAATTGTAAAAATATTAAAAATCAGTCGACAATCTTGATTATGTATAGCCTGACCAGGAACATAAAAACCCTCGCCATGTTGCGGAAAACTAATGGTACTAATTTCTTTTAATGGCAACAGTAACTGAAAACTTCATTGACATGTCACCTTGCATGTCAGTCTATTGCTGTCAAATTGTAAACAAACGTTATTTTAAACGTGCGCAATTATGGTTTTATGAATTAAATTTCTAAAATATTTTTATAGTCGTGAAAGAAAAGTGGTTCACAATGTGTTAAAGTATTTGTCGAAGAGAAATACTAAGGGTTCGGACAATATTTTCATTGAATAATGTTTCCGACAAAGGTTGTCAAATTGACTGACATGTTTATCGTATAGTACAGTCCACTATGAAAATTAGCTGTGGTTTGTTTCAACTACCTATTTTAAAAAAAATGTCACTTTCTAAGTGTTGAATTTTATGAGATTGGGAAAGAAGTACCGAGTTTGAAGCGTTCATGAGCAGAATAAAAATCAAGCTAGAGTATTAACGACGTCTCTACAAGGTTATCTCGAGTTACAAAAATGTTAGTGTTGGGACATATCGACAAATGTCATATTAAATTAAAACTATTTTTTTAACATATTTAACAAAAAAATTTTCTAACTAATTTTTTAACATATTTAAGTCAAGTTATACGTTTTTCTAAATGTTTACTATTAAAAACCAAAAAACATTTCATTCTTAAATAATCAAACATCGGAAATCAATCACCGGTAATTTTTTGGGTATTCATAGCTCCGTTGCTCTAGAAAAGATGCCCACCGCCCTCTAGCGAGAGGAAAAAACCACTGAAGAACACTGATGATAATGACTACGACTTAGGTTGTACATCTACTTAGGTTTACTGTCTTTAAATTTAAATCATAATTGACATTTTTATGAATAAAGATATATGAAGAAAAATTGGGTGCATTTTTTCATATAATTTTTTCGAAAACTTATCGATACATCTATGTGAACCGTACGAAACATACCCATCACTAGTCACATTCGTTTGACAGCCGTCATTCTAATCAAGCTATATTGGATAGACTATAGGGGTATTCACACGGCTAACAAATTAAAAATGTGGAGGTAACTTAATAATTTTAATAAAATTTAATACCTAAGTGTAAAAAATTCCAGGATCAGTCGTCATTATCTTAACTGTCCGCTTACTTTATAATATTTTATTGATTCTAAGAGCCGATTCATCATAAAAGTTTTAACTGCAGAATAGATTTGTAAAGAATTTATATAAAAAACGTGCTATCTACAGGGTGTTAGGTAAATGGGTATATGAGCCGACACTAGCCCATGTTAACATATGCATATAAATGGTATGGTGAAGTCAGAAATTTGATATCATCATTTTAATTTTTTAAATGTTCATACAAAATAAAATTTATAAAATCAGATTTGTATGAAAATTAAAATAATTAAAATGATGATATCAATTTTCTGACTTCACCATACCATTTATATGCATATGTTAACATGGGCTAGTGTCGGCTCATATACCCATTTACCTAACACCCTGTATAATGAACGATTACAAAATTCCACCCATACTTAAGGGGGTAAAACGGGGTCAACGCGTACGAAGTCGTGGGCGGTTGCTAGTTTATTATTAAGAGTATAACGGTTCAAAAAAATATAACAATTAACAATATTGAACTTCAATGGCTCGAACTTCTAGTTCAAATAATATAATGCAGTCAAATTAACGATTAACCTGTGAATTTGAGATAACAGCGGAATATTCGTATAGTTATACCGTTATACCATCATTTAGGCGTTCGAGGTTGTCTGAAGATCACCCTGCGGCCCTGTATGCAAAACGACGTCACCGCGCCGCACTAAAAGTTCGAGTTACATTAAAATAACGGATTACTAATGTTTGGCCAAAAAACGTTTCCCAAATTATCACATCGCAAACAACGTTTCGCAAATTTTCATTTGGCAAATTCTCATTTGGCAAAACAACTTATTGCAAACTTTTAATTCGCAAATGTCGTTTTTGGCATATCATTGTTTAGCAAATTATTGTTTGGCAAAGTATGTTTTGCCAAATGCTTCATTTGGCAAAAATATTTCACGATAAACTATTTACAAAATAATTTGATTGGTGCATAGAGTGGAATACAAATTAGCTTGTGGTTATTATTTTGTTTAGTGGGTAGTTAATATAAAATTAATTTTCTTATTTCATTCTTTTTATCGAAATTTCCAAATGATTCATTAACAATAGAGGTGATTCTAGCGCTCGGCGGCCGCTGCCGCGGCACGCTTCGCTCGCCTTCGCGCATTAAGGGTCACTGTTCTAACCTAACCTAACCCACTATTTTCTGCAATACCTACTTTTTGCAACCATACTATTTTCTGCAATCTCTCTGTTTTACATAAAATTATTGTGAAAACCATGACCATGTGCCTTATGCTTTGATTTGTGGGTAACGGTGGGTACTCGTAAGTATGTGAAGTGTCAATTTGACCAAGCAAATTATTTGGGATATAATATTTGGCAAAATAAAACATTTGCTATATAAACATTTGCCAAGTAAAATTTGGCCAAATGTTAATTTGACCAAATGAATTAGTTGCGAAAAGTACAGTTGCTAAAAGTTTATTTGGGAAATGAAACTTTGGCGATAAGTTGTTTGCGAAGTGAAATTTGGCGAAAAGTAATTTGGCCAAACGGAAGGATACCTTTTTTTAATGCTTTTAACACACACATTATGTATAGTTGCTATTGAAATTCAATTCAATATCGAAATAAAGTTAGTCAAGAAACACACTAGGTGACACCACTGGTATTTTGTTACACAGGTTATTAATAATTTCAACAGTTGCAACATAACAAAAGTGACAAAACAACATAAGATAAAGATGACTAGCGTTTCAAATAGTTCCCTGCGTCAGAGTGATGTGTGCCGCAGCGATGCAAAAAGCAAAGAGCTCAGTATGAACACTACCCTCAAAAGGGCAGAACACTGATTTTCAGCTTTTGCTAGAGAACGCATGAAGCGTACAGGTACGGAATGAACCCGCTCGCTTTCGGAAACAATATCTACATTAGTAGGTATAAAATATATGATAAGACAAATAATCTTATGGTATAGTGTGCTTACTTACGTGCTGAAAGAACACTTTCACAGAAAGAAGCAGTGGAAAGGGGGAGCGAGAGGCCTCAGCCGACACTCCGGTTATCCGCCGCCGACACCCTGGGCGCAAGAGGACAGCTTATGGTCTCCAACTGTCCCTGCCTAACAGGCCTCGGTCGCTAGACATGCCATTATTTATAATTATAGAGTCGGTGTTGGAAGATTTGAAGATTTTATAGTTTCTTTGGGCTGTCACTTGACAGCCTGGCACACTTTTACGATGGTGGATCAAAGTATTTTGGTTTGACTATAGAGCGTGAGAACACGCACACAGTCACAATTATTTTAGTGTGAATAAAAATAGCATCGAAATTACCTAAACTTGACATGCCACGCTAGACGTAAACGCTCTTAAAAGGAGTGTTTAAATGTATTATGTTTGTCTATGGAAAAAGTTTTTGGAAGAAATACTTCGCTTAAAAAAAGGAAAGCTGCAATCAGTCGGGTTTAAGCGAACATAAACAATAAAGATTTTTCATTTTTTGTTAAAAATGTTTTCATGATGATTATGAAATAAAGAGTACCTAAGTAAATATTTTTATTAAAACGTACAATGTGTGTACCCACGTAACATTTACGTATTTAATTACGTACCTGTTGAATAAAAAAAAATATAACGTAGATTTGTCTAATGCTAAATTGCACATTTAATAACCTAGAAAATTACGTCTATGGTTGGTTTTCATTAACTTTCAACTCGACCAAAAATAATTTTGTCACTTTTCCAAAATAAATTACGGTTCAAAATGATATGGCATTAAATATTGTGATGGTTATAACAAAATACGTATTATGCAATATCTCATATTGTCATTTAAAGCACGTTACTTATCAGAAATTTTATAAGTAGTAAAATACATTATAGCCTTAAGATCTTTCTATCATAAGTTCCAATACAAACATAGCTTAAATATCCAAAAAATCTACGAAACATCGAAAGGTACTGCCAAAAACATACATAAGTGTATAAATGCTTTGTAAATTTCGTTGTATAAAACGTATAAGAATATAAAATATTTGTACAAAACGGTGGGGGGTTGGTTATACATGAGATATATCGACTGCTTTGTTTAAGATTAGAGACACGTCCATTGGTGGAAAGTTCTGTAGGAGTTTCACGTTGGAAGCAAAATCACCGTTCAGCAAGTTATCTCGTACTAACCTGGTTGATAAGTAAAATCAAAATATGAATATAATGTTATGTATAACAATAGTTCTTAAAACTTGTGGCTAATTAAATTATATTCTAAACGAGAGAGTTAATAATTATGTAGTAACAAAAAGCTGACCAATAGAACCGAGAATTGGATTTCGCAAAGCAAATCATTCTAACGTTAAATGGAGTCTTTAAAGGTGAGTACTCTATGAAATATCTAGCTAGTACCTATATAACCCCAAAAGTCATATTATATTTAAACTGTATTGTACCATTCACAAGAACGTTACATACATTACATAGAAATGCTCTAGTCTAACTCACCTTGAGACAGATTGATTTATTAGTATTGAAATGTAAAATAATAAACTAAAATGTAAAAGTACTTACAATATCATGGCACAACAGATGTATATGAGGAAACTGAATCTGTTGTTATCTGCAAATAAAGTGTCCCAAATTCTTTCGACGTCGGGCAGCGAGAATTCTTGCGAGAGAAGCAACGTCAGCCATCTGAAATTGAAACAGAAAGAAGTATGAATTATCATGATACAATAAAAGAAGGTAAGAAGTTTCTTTTAGCATACCTACTTCTTTTAGTTCCTTGTAACTTCCTTCATTTCCTTTGAGCCCAATTTTCATTTGAATCAAGAAGTATTTTGTGTGTTATATGTAAAACTAGTTGACCCGGCGAACTTTGTTCCGCCTTAATGGCAATAAATAAGCAGACTTTTTTTTATTTCGAACGGGATAAAAAGTCAGTCCTATGTCCTTCTCCTGGCTCTAAACTACCTCCCTGACAATTTTCAGCTAAATCGGTTCAGCCGTTCTTGAGTTATAAGTGGAGTAACTAACACGACTTTCTTTTATAGATATATAGATGTATATGACATAAAGCTAAGAAACTCAAACAAATGATTAAAGAAAGCATGAATGCACTTGATGTAAGAAAACTATGAAAAGATGGCACTGATTTGGATGTCATGAGAAGGAAAACACATGACATGCTTTGTCCTTCCGTTCAGTTTCCACCAGAAATGTACGAGGATGCGTAAAAATGAAAATATTTTTATTATAAACACTTTTAAATTACAAAATATGTGCAGCTCTCGTAAAAGGTTAACTTGTGTAACGTGAGTCAGACTCCTTCCTAAAAACATAGACAAGTCAGTGTTTAGGTGAATACAATAAAAGAGAATATAATCTGTTGCCTCGCTTCGGTAAATGAAGCGATTCTATTGGTTCTTTACAAACACATCCCTCGCTACACATCCTCGCACATCTCTGGTGGAAACGCAGCCTAGTCCTTCCGTAGGGTCATTAGTCAATTGATGAATTATTGGATAAAGCGTGAGAGATGATCTAGTCTAGCAAATACACCCCTTTAGGGAAGGATTATCTAGCTAAACATTCTTTAAATAAAATTTGAATGACCTAGTTAGATTGGGAGAAAGAAGAAAACATGGCCAATCAATCAATAAAGCAGTAGGTACCTATAGATAGTGCTACCCACGAAGACGCGCCCCACCAATTTTTGGTCGAGGGAAGCGCGAAGTGCGGGGAGTTTAATCCGAGCAATTCGAGCGTCTTTATTGTAATGTGCGTGTGCACTCATGGATAATTAACGTGTACCGATAACACTCAAACATTAGCGGAAGCATGCATACATAAACTATAAACGATTAGGATGAATGGGGCGCGTCTTCGTGGATGGCACAATCTTTACAGATACAATAAATTATCGCGCTATAATAAATGATTGCGCTAATTTGTTATGTCTCCAATTCGTTCGCTTTTCTTTTCCAGTCTACACTCCAGTCAAGCTCCATTATCATTCCAGCTGATGTGCAATTCGGTATCGCGGTAAAGTTCACGCGTAAACAGACGAAATAACGGTTATACAATTTTCATTAAAAGTCCGAACACCATATTGACTAAAACATAGCAAATATTCGTGAAGCGTTTGACTTGTGTGTGAGAAAAAGTAGCTTTCTGTCAGCTTTTACTCAAAAGCGCAGTTGCGCTCCGTTTATGTTACAACTTCGTTTGAACTAGCTGTCAAAACGACACCGCGATACGGATTTGTCAAAGCATCTGATGTTCGTTCATCGTCCAGTGCATTGCAGTTGAAAATATTTAGCGCAATCGGGGCACTGGTTTTTTACCTAAAACTGTAATATTGCGGGCGCAGCTCCTGCGTCTCCAGCTGGTTCCAAACATCAGGATCGTTCTTCCGGAGGCACTGGCTCAGCTTGCTCATCATGTAGTTGATGCCGCTCTCAGTCTCGTCCAGCGTCCGGATGAAGAAGTCCCGGATCTCCGCCATCAGGTTCGTGAAGCAGAAGAAGCAATCGGCTTCCGCGTGTTCTGAGGAAGATTTGAAAAAAAGGTATTCAGTTACATAGGCCCTTTCCAGGGCACTTATACACGTCCTAAATATAGCTTGCCCTACCACCACTTCGGGACAACATGGGCTGGTGCTGAGAAGAAGTGGCGGAAGAAACTCAGTCACCTTTGTCGGCCTCTATTATAACTTACAAGACACGTAATAAATGCGAGCTAGGCAGGATTTATAAGTAGCTAAATAATTTGTTTCAACATAAATACATCTACCTACTACTGGATAGGTAAACACAAATGACGATATAAAATCACCCAGTATTACCTATTATAATACAACAACTCAAGTTTTGACTCAGTTTAGCTCAAAGAACTTAAAAGACTCGAAAGGACTCAGAAGACTCAAAGGACTCGGACTCATGTGACTAACGAGTCTTAGTCTTGAAAATAGATTCAAGTCTTGAAATGAAGAATCTAATGAGGGTTTTCGCGAATGAAAAATTCGCCAGATGGCAATACGTAGACGCGAGGTCCAAATGCTGCATGATTGGTTATTTTTGACATGACATTGACAGATATGTCAAAATCCACCAATCACACAGCAGTCAGACCCCACATCCACGTCCCGCCATCTAGCGAATCTTTCATTCGCGAAAACCCTCATTAGATTCTTACTACTTAGCGTGGTACAACAGCACCATCTAATTCCTGCTGGCAGGACTACGCTACGCGCGGCGTAGTACAGCGCCATCTAGTTCCTGAAGGCAGGACTACTTGGCGCAGTACAACAGCGCCATCTAGTACCTGGTGGCAGGACTACTTGGCGTGGTACAATAGCGTCATCTAGTACCTGGTGGCAGGACTACTAATAGCGCCAACTAGTACCTGGTGGCAGGACTACTTGGCGTGGTACAACCGCGCCATCTAGTACATGGTGGCAGGACTACTTGGCGTGGTACAATAGCGCCATCTAGTTCCTGCTGGCAGGACTACTTGGCGTGGTACAGTGCCATCTAGTTCCTGCTGGCAGGACTACTTGGCGTGGTACAGTGCCATCTAGTTCCAGATGGCAGGACTACTTGACGTGGTACAGTGCCAACTAGTTCCAGATGGCAGGACTACTCGGTAGTAGTTTAACAGCGCCATCTAGTTCCTGGTGGCAGGCCTACTTGGCATGGTACAGTGTCATCTAGTTGCTGGTGGCAGGACTAGGCGTGGTACAATAGCGTCATCTAGTACCTGGTGGCAGGACTACTTGGCGTGGTACAACAGCGCCATCTAGTTCCTGCTGGCTGGACTTCTTTACGTAGTACAACAGCGCTATCTAGTGCCTGGTGGCAGGACTACTTGGCGTGGTACAACAGCGCCATCTAGTTCCTGCTGGCAGGACTACTTGGCGTGGCACAGTGCCATCTAGTTCCTGGTGGCCGGACTATTTGGCGTGGTGCAATAGCGCCATCTAGTACCTGGTAGCAGGCCTACTTGGCGTGGTACAAAGGCGCTATCTAGTACCTGGCGGCAGGACTACGCTACACCGCCATCGAGTTCCTGCTGGCAGGACTTCTTGGCGTAGTACAACAGCGCCATCTAGTTCGGCCTATTTGGCATGGTACAGTGCCATCTAGTTCCTGGCGGCAGGACTACTTGGCGTGGTACAATAGCGCCATCTAGTACCTGGTGGCAGGACTACTTGGCGTGGTACAGTGCCATCTAGTACCTGGTGGCAGGACTACGCTACACGGTACAGCGCCATCTAGTACTTGGTGGCAGGAGTACTTGGCGTGGTAGAACAGCGCCATCTAGTTCCTGGTGGGAGGACTACGCTACGTAGCGTGATACAGCGCCATCTATTTCCTGGTGGCAGGACTACTTGGCGTGGTACAATGCCATCTAGTTCCTGGTGGCAGGACTACGCTACGTAGCGTGGTACAGCGCGATCTATTTCCTGGTGGCAGGACTACTTGGCGTGGTACAATGCCATCTAGTTCCTGGTGGCCGGACTACGCTACGTGGCGTGGTACAACAGCGCCATCTAGTGCCTGTTGGCAGCTGGCATTTTTTAAAACTTTATTGACGTATCTGAAGCACTATTTCTCATAAACATCCACGATTTCACTCACGTAAAATGTGAAAAAATATCTGAGTTCAAATTTTGAGCGTACCAATAAGTGCTAACGAACTACAAATAGTTTAAGTAAAAAAACGGTTGTTTGACGTGACGGCGACGGCATCACGCATCTCTTTTTATCATACAGTGTTGCTGCTAATGACATCTCGAACGCTCAGTTCTTTGTTGCTTTATTCCGCTAGGTATATTAACTTTATGACTGTAAGTAATTCAAGATTTGGCTCTCAATGGGTTTATTAGGTAGAGTATTTGCTAAAAGTAATATCTCTGTTATGGCACTGCAACAAAGGCACTTGCGGTTTGATGCTAAAGCCATTCTGTTATGTATGAAGCCTGTATAGGCCCAAATAGATATTGAAACCGCAAACTCCACGATTCAATGTCACAATACGTAATGTCGCAGCAGCGCGAAGGTCAAGTCATTAAGTTCCGTATGCCGTGGGCCTAAAGTGCATAGTTGATTGTCCTTATTCAGTGTAACATGTCTATTTGTACTTAACGTAAATACGTAGCTCATGTGCAGTCTGATCTTTACTTCTATATCGTAAATTCTTATAAGATCTAGGCAATGTCAGAAACAGCCTAAATTGCTCTCTGTTCCAATTATGCATCACGAATTGTATAGTGAATGTTATGTTTTCGGAGTCTACAGATCCCAAAGAAGACATATTTGTTCTAAAATGTAGGTACATGATGCAGTTTTCAGTGGGCATGCAGGATGAGTAACTGCAGAAATCCTTTATCCAGCTGTGGACGTATTTTGATAGAAAAGGGTGTCCTTTTTTAAGGACTCAACTAAACACAGATTTGCTGCTTTTCTGACGACATGATGCGTGTGATTCAACAGTTCTGTACTACATAGTTATGTTTATTTAACTCACGTCTGTTTTCTTTGTCCGCATCGCTGGCGAATGTGTGGTAAATCGGGCCGATGATCTCGTTCATGCCTTGCACGTATCCTTGGCCGGGGTTGAGCTTAGCGTAGAGGAAGAGCAGTCGTTCCACCACTTCCCAGTGAGCCTCGCGACCCTCGTGCAACGGCGCGTAGTCGCCTGACGCACTGTCCGAACGACGGATCTCGCTGCTCAGCTGGAAACAAATGACGAAACTAGCTTTTTAAAACTATAAAAAAACCTTTAATTACTTATCAAAAAATATTGGACACAATAGGTACATTTTTATTTGTCAATCAAAAAAGCAATTACGAAGTTAAGATGCGTCACAAAGTGCTACAATTTTAAGTACCTACGCCTCGACGTCACGGGCATATCTTTCAATTTTTTAAAAAGTTAAAAATACGAGTCGTGTATGTATATTTTTCCTTATTCGGAAAACCACAACTCTTTATAATATTTTTTATAAGTTAACCGACGCGCGGACAAATTGAAAGTATTCCCTATTCGAACTAACTTTCTTTTGTTAAAAGTCATTGCGCGGTCCAAGTCAGTAGTTAGCGCCCGGGGTACATTTCGGGACTTCTGACCTTTCACTGGTTGGGTTTTATTGGAGATCAAAATGAAGTTCCCAGCTATACAGGAGTTGGTGGTGGGACAGAGAGGATAAACCTATTTTCACCATCAATCCCTAATTTTTAAGTGACCCCTATGAAAACAAAATTCAGTGTTAGCATAGGGGTCACTTAAAAATTAGGGATTGATGGTGATAACGGGCATTAGTGTCGTAAGATTTTTAACCGCTATTACCCAATGCCTAACTAGATAAAAGTGATCTACGTGAGAGTTGTGAATCCGAAATCACTTGGCTTCGGCGTTTTTGTATTCATTTATGTAGTAACTTCACTCCTCGAAACGATTTAGAAATTAAACAGGTAGAATAGTACTTAATTCCATGTCTTTTTAGGAAATGGACCAAAATTAACATTGTTTTTATATCAAGCCTAGCAATAAAATAGTTCACAACATTTTAGATAACCTACAACAATATTGCAACACTGTATGGACGAAATAGATTCACGATTGCACGTTTTCCCGCATGCACATGAATGTTTATGTCCGTAAACCAACAGATATTAAAGTTTAAAATTGCATATCAAAGATCATTCGAATTTCATATACATACAGGGTGGAAACGGTGATCTCACTCGATTTATAAACAATACAAGATATTGAAAAACAGGTTACTAATGCTGAAAGTTACGAGCTCTTTCAAACGGTACGGTAATAAATTACAGAATAAACTGGAACTACCCGAAAATTCAATGTTTCCACCCAGTAATAACTACTGCCTACCTACTTTATCTAAGGTCAGTATTGAAAAATATTGATATTCACCTTAGATACACCCAGTCCCCTTCTCTCCAAGGTTGCATACGTTAGCACGGATTGCTCAACACGTTTGTGGAGTCGTTTCATGCCATTACTGTTTACCACCTGGAAGTATTGAGTTACTATGAAACCGATATCTCCGATATTACATAATGTAGCCGCACTAAGGAGTAGGAATTATGTTACATAACAGAGACAAAGTAAGGCGTTTTGAGCAGGATATTTATTGTTGTCCGTTTGCAGGACCGCACATGGAAAATTGTATCACAACTGTGTTGGAACAAAACTGATAGTTAGGACCGGGGTTTTCACCTAAGCGGAGAAGAGCGGAGAAGTGTCGGGCCGTCAAATTTGACAGCGGCGGCAACGCGGCGCGGAGCAGAGACGAGAAGTGGAAATAATGAAATATGATTGGTTATGTACTTCTTTGATCCGCTCCACCTTGGTCGAAACCGGGCTTTACCAAATTCCTGCTCAAAACGTCTAATTTGAAAGAGCCCTACGGCTTTGTATATTATATGAATAAGATTTCAATAAAGCATTTTAAAAATACAATTACCTTTTCACATGGAAAATCTGTTGCCGACTGGAAGAACGATATTTCTGGGCACAACCTTCGTACATCCTTATCAATTTGGAGAAGGACCTCATTATCCTTAAAGTATGTGCTCCAGGAGCTGTCCGGACTTATGTTTAGTGGGTGGTCAGTTGGACCACCAGGCGTCACAATGATTTCATCTGTGGGAAAATAATACCCAAATTAATCTTTATATTGTGATCATAAAGTACCTAACTGTCCATTCTAACTACATTCTCTAGTTCTATACTATAGCGACTACTAGAAGAAAAGAAACTTGCAAAACTTTCAGAACAAAATGCTGAAATGAGTAAGTATAAATATATTAAATGAGGAAGTCAATTGATATAATGCTTACAAGATCACTCAATAAATTACTGTTGTTTAAAACTTAACTTACTGTAAGTCAAGAAGTACCTACCTATAAACTGTTGATAAAGTTGTCGTTTTTTTTGCAAAGTAGCTTCTCTTATGTCTTTTTCGTGTGGAACATACTGCAAAAGTATTTTCCAAACAATTGAACGGAGACCTTTTTCATCTGGGATCCCTGGGATAAATAGAAAGGAGAGTAGATAATGTTTGCTTAATTTTACAAAGGAAAAAAGGAATATTTAATAGGATATCACAGAGCAAATACAATATTTAATGATAAAAACATGAAGAATACAATCGCAATGCCCAATTGCAAATCAGCAAGTGACACACGGTTATATAATATTCATAATAAAATAACAACCAACATAATTTAACTGTGTTAGTGCATCATCAGTGATTCACTATGTTATACAATATAAATGTGTATCTATGTTAAACAGCCCATATGTTGTCCTGTAGTGGTGGTATACCCTACCTTAAACATAACTTGCCCAGCTGTTTGGGACGTGTATAAGTGCCCTGGAAAGGGTCTATGTACTGAATAAACTATTTCATTTCATTTCAAAGTTTCATTTCAGCTGACTATAGTGACTGAGTTTATTGCGCTGCTTCTTCTCAGAACCCGGCTCATTTATTGTAAAAGTGTTTTTTAAAAGCCCATTTGCTAAAATAAATGAGTTTTAACGGCATTTAATTTTCTTCCTTACAAAGAATATCCCACAAGTTACAAAAATTAAGATTATTACGATGTTTGCATAGAATTACACAGTTTTTGCAATTTTAGTATGTGAGTGCAAGCTTTAGTCAATAATATAATTATATGCTTGTTGACTATGGCTTATTAACACTGATTGAGTGACACCCACAAGGTGGATCGACGACCTCATAAAGGTAGCAGAAAGGCACTGGATGCAAGCCACCACCAACCATTGGGGGAGGCCTATGTTCAGCAGTGGACATTGTTTGGCTGCAATTATGATGATGATGAAGGCTTAATTATGTTATTATTACTTACCATTAAATCCCTTCTGAATTCTGAGAACTCTACATTCAGGCTCAGGAGAAAGCGAATAGCATCCATCTGAAGAGTTATTGTAAAGGAAACGAGGTGACACATCATGGGATGTGCAGAACCTAAACTGTCATTAATGCGAATTCATCTAATCTGATAAAGGCTGACGGCTGATCGCAGATAGAATAAAAAAAAAATAATAAAAAAAACTTACCATTAAATGCTAATTTTTGTAACTGCACTATGTCTATGACATCTTGATCCAAAACATCTTGGAAAGCTTGAATTCTAAAAAAAGAAATAAAGTAGATGATGGCAAAGCAAATCTTATTATTGACTGATCTGATCATGATACCTACTTATTAGATTTAAGTGTCTAATAACAGGATGTGGAAAATTTTAAAATATAAATATATTCAAATTTAGGGCGTATACATAAGTTTTTTCATCTAAAAAACTTATGCTAAGGCCAAATTAAACGCCCTCTATACATTATTTTAATTACAAAAACAATTATTTATTTACGTACCTTGCTTTATGTAAGCTCATTTTGATTCGTGGATTTTTCTCAAAATGTAATTAATTATACTTTAATGACACAAAAAACAACTAAAATTCACCACCAAACCACTTTACTTGTTCATAAAAACTCATGGGTCAACTTAGGATAACTTTTATATTAAACTACAATATTCTAAAAATTTTTCGTGAGTTTGTGGACACTGAGAGGATTCAGAGCAGTATTTTGCTTGCTGATAATGCTGATTTACGATTCCTTTTGGCTTATTTGGTTTTGTTGCTCTTGCTTCGCTCACTCGCTGTAAAACAAGATAGGAAATGACATGAGTGATATGTCAATATTGTCATGTTGACTAGTGATGCTAATTTCCAAAATGTAATTGAATGTTCAATAATTTTTTTAATTGAAACCCATGATCATTTTTCACTTTAGGTTAATAAAAGGGCATTTTAACTCTTTCCTAATAATATTTTCTAATACGAATTCTAGATTCCCACTGGTTTTTTTATTTCTATTTTATGCGTAGCTAATTTCAAGTTGCAGTTTTTGTGGACATCTTCTTAAAGTTTAACACTGCGACTGTTTGGTTGTATAGAATAGGTGCTATTTTGCAATAGATAGAGAATAAATAAAAATAAGAATATAAAGCTTGATTAAATTAATATGTAAAAAGTGTAATTTTTTTACACTGTTTTAATGTCGAATGATCAGATAGCATCAGCAAAAAAATTGGATCTTTCAAGAGACGCAACTTATTTAGAAAACAAAATGATCGATTTTCCAAAAATAAGATGATTGATCAGTATCGATTTTTGCAATTGAACTATTATCATTTGTTAATAACTTCACTACGTGCTGTACGTGTCATCATGGTAATTTTTTAATAATTTCTGGCTTCCACCTCATGGTGGAAGCCAGAAATTATTAAAAAATTACCATTACAAAAGCTCATGCTTTTAGCCACAATTTAATTTTACCAAATCAAAAATCAAACTTTTTCATGATGAATGAAGGTACAGGTACAGATGGTACAGATATTCAGAAAAAGAAGGCATATTTTGAAACAGAACTCGGACACTTTGAAAGCGGAGCCATGTTCAGTACCTAAGTATAGGCGCAGACCACCGACTTTTAGTTGGCCGATAGTTGGGCCCAATTTTAATTTGTATGAAGAATCGGCAGATTATGCGCGTATATGCGTAATATGCGCACTTTCATACAATCTCAATTACCGGCGAACTAAAAGTTGGTGGTCTGCGCCTAGGCTAAATAAATTTTTTTAGGGATACCTACTTGTATACAGTGTGATTTTGTAATCAAGGCTGGCAAAATGCCACGGACCCCCAACCTAAGGGGCCCCCCGCCCAAGACCCCCCCCCCCTGGAAAATAAAATAACCCAACTGAAGTTTTTTTATATTCTTGGCGTAGGTATCTAGATAAGTAGTACGAGAGCCCACGACCAAAACCATGTCTCATAGCAATACGGCAAAAACCCTATAAAATCGTTAGATTGTAATTGATTCTGAACCCGACTAGGTGTGTAGTAACGGTCGAAAGTGTAGCAACTGCGTGGGAGGCCATTTTTGCTGTGTCAAAAAAAAAAGACAGTCGGTAAGTATTATAGCAATACGTCTGATAGTGAAAATGTACATAGATTTTATAATTGTATTATTTACGAAAAAGTTTGTTTTCAGACATTTTGCGCGTGGCATATAGCCTGAGCGCATTTTTGAAAATGTCAACAAATTTAGCCGACCTGTATCATAGCAATACGGATTTATATATTTTTTTCAACTTTTCGTATTGCTGCCATGATTGCCAAAAACCTGTTTTCAGACACTTTAAGTGTATCAAAAAGTTGTATGATAGAGAAGGTGCTACACTTAATTTGTCTGATATAAATTTTTTGCACATGTGGACAACTTATTTTATCATGTCCAACAATTTTCAGACATATTGCTATGATACCGATCGGTAAAATTTGTTAACATTTTCAAAACGGTCTCAAAATTTAATGCGTTCACATTTCCGTCTGAAAATTGTTTTGTTCGTATCAAATAACCAAAATTTACTAATAAAAAAGATTTTCAGACGTATTGCTATGAGACATTTTTTTTGTCTCATTTTTAATTTTTTTAAGTGATTTTACGGGTTTGCGCTACACCACTAACGTCTGAAAATAATGTTTCCGGTATCTCAGAACTATCATTCAACTACAGTCTGCAAATCAGACATATTGCTATGATGCAGTTCGGTAAAATTCTTTGACAATTTTGAAAATTCGGTCAGATCAAACGCTACGCGGAAAATGTCTGATATTGGTATTTTCGAGTTCAGGATAATCGTATCTATCGATTTGATGCGGTTTTGGCCGTATTGCTATGAGACAAAAATTTTGGTCGTGGGCTCTCGTACTAAAGTACCTACCTACGCCAAGGGCCCCATGCATAGAATCGGATCGGGCCTCGGAAGGCCTAAGTATAGTAACGCGACTGCTTCCAATCCACGTAGGATTAATAATTGTAAAAGCATTGTACCTATACCGAATCAACATTACAGATATGTACTTACCTAGTTCATATCACATTCTAAACCCTTTAAGTACTTTTAAGGTATAATTAATGAAATAACTTTGATGGATTAAGTATAGGTACATTTTAAGTCCAAAACAAAACAGATATATCTATAGCGTACACAACACCAGCCAGAATTGAAATGAATCCTTTGTTCATAGCTTCATTAGCGTACTTGGTTCCACTGTAGAATTGGACGAACGCAAGCGTGGCACAGAGCAAATTCAGAAATATGCCAGTCGACAGGAATATGCACTCTAAAAACCTGTCCGTCTTAATTTGAAACCCTACTTCGAGCAGGAGTCCTAATGTAACCACTGAGTAGCCCCCGTATATGCCGAACATTAGAAAATTATTAAATGTAGTCAAGTTTTCATGTTCGGAGTTGAAAAATAACCCCAGAACCATCATACCAAAGGTCAAACCCCGGAGACACATTTGCACCACTTTGTAAACCATTATTTCATTTAAAAAACTTTTTTCTATTATAAAAATACCTAGGTAACTATATAAAATTATGAAAATAATTCAGAGTAAAGTTTTATGCATCAAATATTATTATGACAGAATAATAGTAAAAAAAGCGAAAAAGCTCGAAGAAAATAATACAAATAACGACCATAGATTTTTAAATCTTAGGTAGCGACCACACTTGTAAAGTATAGAGGCAAAAGCTGGCAAAAGAAGAATGAAGTTTTCCGTCTATGTTTGGTTTGACATCACAGTTTCATGCGTTTTGTGTGACGTGAACATGACGTGTTATTTTCTAACGATTTCAATTTACCAATAAATTATTTGGAATACCTGGTTTTAACTATGTGCGTATTTTATATAGCTTTTAGCATTTTTACGCTAGGACATGTACTCTGCGAGTCTAACATCAGTTCCACAGAAAATCTGCTCGACTACTGTTCTCACCCAGATTGTTCGTTGAAAAACCAGCATACAATGTGCATAGCAGCCCACAAACAAAGTCCGAGGCTGTACGCGTCCGGCATGACCACCTGGATGAGGTACCAGATACTACTGCTGCATAACCGCCATAGAGACAACATCGCTATGGGTCTAGAAGCCGGTCAGCCTCCGGCGACAAACATGCGCAAGATGTACTGGGATTACGAACTGGAGGAGATGGCGGAAGTATGGGCGAGGCAGTGTCAGAAGCGCCACGATGAGTGCAGAAATACGATCAGGTTTAATGTACTGCAGAATATGGACGTGCGCCCTGTCGTGCCCAGGGTGACGGAGGCGCAGCTGCTGGCGGACGCGGTGGGCGCCTGGTTCTCGGGCTCCAGGGTGCTGCCGGCGGAGCACGTCTGGTCTTTCAGGCTCAGCAACTGCAGCGCGCCGGGCGGCTGCAACGCTCACTGGTATTCTGCCGCCGCGTGGGCGTCCACTTGGCGACTGGGCTGCTCCCAAGCGCTGTGCACGGTCAGAAAACGTTCCTGTGTCCACTTCAGAAAACGGCGAAGAATATTGCGAAACGCCACAATGGAACCGTTTGAGAATATGACACGAACGACCGAGAATATATTGCGTCGAACCAGATATATGACGACAGCCACTTTCCCGCGCTTCGAGGATTTCGCCACGACCGAAACTCGGAAATCGAAAGAGTCGCCGTTGCACCGTGGTATTTTGGAGAGTGTTAGAAAGGAGAAATCACGGAAGGAGCCAAAGATAATAGCGTTTACAATATGCAATTATGGACCAGCCGGGAATATCGATGGCTTCCCGATCTACGAGGCCGGGACGACGTGCAGCAACTGTCCGCAGGGCACGCGCTGCGGGGACCGCACGCATCGAGCCTTGTGTTCGGTCGTGGGAGATCCTGATATCCGAACGTGAGAATGTTTTAGTCTTGTATTAGTTTCATTTTCTTAATTTTAATATTATATCTCATTTTACGTTTTCAAATAAAGCCGTTTGTTAAAAATTTAATGTTTCAAATTCTCCTGTCGTTTCCAGTTAAGATAAAGTTAATTTAAAATCTCGTAGTAAATAGCTCATTTTACAGTGCATTTTACAAACGAATAATAATAATTACCCAAAGTCGTTTAATTGGCGAACAGATTGCAATACCAAATATTTTAAGTAGGTACATACTTAAGACTGGAAATTGACCCGATTCAACCCAAGTGCGCCCCAATAACCTAAGCTACCTATTGTCTCTACGGCACAGCGGAAATTAGGTGCCTAGCGCTTGAAACCTAACTAAAATACATAGTAACTATTGAATTTGACATGAAGTGATATGTTCAGTGACTGACTTGACCTATAAAGACAAAACATGATAATGTCTTAGGTACCTACTCATTAAACTAAGTATTAATATTAGTAAAGCACTTACCGCATCCATTTCGTGAGACACCTAAATATTTAACCAAGTAACTTATTAATAACCTGTGCCTAAGCCTAGGCGCAGACCATCGATTTTTCGTCGGCCGATTACTTAGTTGGGCCCGATTCTAATTTTTATGAAGAATCGATCGAAATCGGTGTAATGTGCGCACTTCCATACATGCCCGCCCACTGATCAACTGCCCGACTAAACTATCGGCTGACGAAAAATCGGTGGTCTGCGCCTTGGCTAAACCATTAACTTTAAGAAAACATACTCGGTGGACTGACGACTGGTAACAGGAAGCCAGGGCTGCAGGACGTTTAGCGTGGGAATCTTTGATGTCGGCCTTTGTCCAGCAGACGCCTTAAACTTCCAAAGAAAAGAAAAGAAGGACACCGAGGAAAAGTTTTACTACGAGTATAGATTTCATAACCTTTTTGTAAGGGTCGCTCACTGCTAGGGGAAAAGTGAAGCATCGAAGATTGTAGGCATTATTGAATGTACACAGAAGGGTGCTCACTACATTAAGGTGAGTATAGACTAGAGTCTATGTAATGTAACGTTTTTATAAATGCTACAATATGTAAAAACTCAGATACTAAAATATTTTCATGTAATGTAACATTCCTGCGAATGCTCGGCACTCTGTTCGAAGTAATTCTCACAGCAAGTGTACATTTACCCGTAACACTTCGTTGTACCTTGCGTTCACTCTTTGTTGTATATCGCCTGCACTCGTGCAAAAGTTTGCTGATGTTTCACCATTACGCTCGAAGACTTGTACAACTAGGTTGTAACAACAGCGATCAGCGACAGTAGAACACCATCATAGAGCGGCTCGTTGTTCTGTTACAAGTAAATGATCTAGTTAGCCTATAATAAAATAAACCAAAAATAAAAAAATAAAAAGCCTATTATTTCTTGCAAAATAAAGTAATAACTAAAAAAAAACAATCTCGGTCGTATTTTATCACGCAAAGTAAATTGTAAAAAGATAATACTAAAAATGTAAAATAAAAATAGCAAAAAATTTGTACAATGTTAGTTTGCAAGATCCCAGAAGATGAAGGTGAAGAAGGTGAAGAGAAGCAGGTGAAGGCCTCCTCCAAGGAACCCCAGCTTTCTCTTTCCTGAGCTATCTGAATACAGTTAGGGCCAGCCGTTTTTATAATGTCGTCCGCCCATCTTGTTAGCGGTCTATCTTTGTCTTTTACCCATTAGTCCAACACTCGTCTGACAGTCTTGCCACATGCCCCGTCCATTTACATTTCAACGTTTTGGTTACACTTCTGTACGGCTTGCATGAAAAACTTTCGGTTTCGAATCGTTTGCGTATTTGAATCGCCATCAAAAGATTTAAGTACGAAAACTACAACAGCGCCCTTGTGAACGTGTGGCAAAGTGAACTTATAATGAGAAACGGTTGCACGAAACTTATTTTGAGAATCAAAATTGTCACGTTATCGTTTAATTTGAAGGTTGAATATCGATTCGAAGACGAAAGTTGTTCATGATTAAGGTACTGATCTTTGTGTGTCTTATTTTATGAATTTTTGTAATGTTCAGCATGCTAGATGCTCTAGTCTATACTCACCTTTAAAGTTTGCATTTGAAAAAGTTAAACAACGCTGCTTGCTGATGCGACTTGTTGACACACCGCTTGACATCTTCGGCGTGACCCAGTAGGGCTTTGTAACCGGGTCAGCGCCGTTGCATCGAAGCGATTAGAGAACGGTTAGTTTTAATCTCTCAACCTCAACGAATTAATTATTACTCGTATAATCGCCTCAACGTGCAGACCAAGAGCGAACGACTAAGAATAAGTCTTAATCCCTGCTAGGCAGGTATGCTAATCATCCACTTCGACTACTTAATTAATTCTAGGTGGATTATGCATCTAGGACTCTACATAGAGAAATTCTTTTAGTCCTTTTGTAGTCCTTTTAGTCCTTTTTTTTTCATGATGAGTAGGTACGAGTATTTTCACACATAATAAAATAAGTAATGCTTTGATTTGCTTATGTTTCAGAAACTTTCTGTTTACCAGTCAATCCGGTAAGAGCAAATAATAAATGATGGTGTGTACGGACTTCTCAGGGTAGAGATGTTTCTATTCATCAAGTAGGTACCATAAGCCAACTATGTAAGTAAACGGGACTGCATATTTCCACCTCACGTTCCCAGGCCAGGATCTACAACTTGACGACCAATAAAAACCCAACCAGTGAAGGTCAAGTTTGTCCCAGGGGAAAGTTAACTGTCATTGGACCCGCATAATGCTATGTAAGTAAGACTATATTTGACCTGTAGATAGCCAAATACAAGCTCTACTTAGTTTGTATTTGGTGTGATATCTACAAGACACCCCGCAGACAACAGACTTTTTGTCGGCCGATAGTTTGGTCAGGCTGTTAATCAGAATGGACATGTATGGAAAAAGTGCATACACTACACGGATTTAGGACGGCCGATAATACCTCAATGTATGAACAATATCGAGGTCAACTAAAAATCTGCAGGGCATCTAAGCATTTTATAATAAAAGTAATGGAATAAATAAAAGTAAATAAATAAAAAATAAAAAAATTTAATGAACGACCTTTTTTAGAATGTCATTATACAGGGTGTTTGGCGCATCGTGTGCCAAAATGATTTGGCGGATAGAATGGGTCATCTACACTAATATTATAAAGAGGAAAACTTTGTTTGTTTGTTTGTTTGTTTGTTTGTTTGTTTGTTTGTTTAGTTGTAATGGATAGGCTCAAAAACTACTGGACCGATTTTAAAAATTCTTTCACCATTCGAAAGCTACATAACTCACGAGTAACATAGGCTAAATTTTATTTTGGAAAATAATAGGGTCCCGTAAAATATTTGGGATTTTCATAAGACGTAGAAAAGCGCCATCTATCGTCATTGGTTAAAATCTTCTTGCGCCTGACAAACATTTTTGAGGTACGTAAATATTCATGAAGGCAAAGCTGTCAAACGCCATCTATCGACATCATTATTAAATTAGTAACTAAATTATACATGTACTATGAATAGCGCTGTTCGTAAATAATATTGAAAATTTAATAAATAAAGATATTTTATGTAATTGAACCATTCACTGTATGTACCTATTTGAATCATTCACTGTGTTTAAACGAGCAAATCAAAGTGTTAATTAGTGACTTTTAAACTTAAATGTTCAGTCCATTTTTAACTTTTCGGAAAACTTTAAAGCTGAATTAAAAAAAAACTAGATGATATTTGCCAGTAAATTTAGATTTGATGCAACCCTACATCAATGCATGTCAAAACAAAATATTTACTTTGAGGCTACGCCTAGTAGTTTTTTTTTAAATCGAAATTAAATGATGCGATATGGGTATTTTGGTGAAATTATTAAAAAAGTTAATATAAAAGTAGCCGCCTGGCGTGGAACGTGTTATGGGGGATGAAAATATAGGAAATGACCCATTCTATCCGCCAAATCATTTTGGCACACGATGCGCCAAACACCCTGTATAATCCCTATTCAATCACTGATGTTGTCACATTCTGTTACATAATAAAAAAAATAAAAAGTCAGTGTCAAATGATTGAATTTATAAAAACATTTAATTTTATTAAAGTAAATATTATTAATTAAGACACGATGCTATCAGCCGCTAAAGTCCGCATTCATGGCATGCAAGATGAGAACTGGGTGATTAAAGATAAAATAAACCAGTACAGGGGACTTATAAAGTTGTATGGTAAGAGCAAAATAAAAAACGGTCTGCCTACATTAGTACATTAGCCTAACGTGGAAGAACATATAATATACCATGGTATATACCATACTGGTTCGAGATCGAACCCCGGGTTCGAACCCCGGGCTGCCGCCGCTGGTCTATTGTGGTGAACCCACTCGTAACACAAGCATGCTAACGAGGGGTTAACGGAGCTGTTTAAAAAAATAGTTGACCTAATCAATGTCTACCCTGGCCTCCATCAGGTTCACAGTTCACAGAGTGAACAATTTGTGAAAACTTTACATAGACGTAAAATTATTGGATCACCTTACCATACTAAATCAGGTTCAAAAAAACATCGCACAACAACATACAATCCAAAGTTTTATATGGAGCGTACTTAATTCAGTATTTTCACTACAAATTAGTTTTGGATTTAATATTGAACAGAAAGGTAGCGCATACTATCAGCAAATAAATCTATTCGACTTCAGATTTTATCTTCTTTGAAAATAATTTAATTTAGAAGGTGGTTGGCGGCAGGCTTCATTCACGTAAATACGAATTGGTTTTCTACGCTGAATTCATTTTGTTTGAAAGCTAAGCTAGAGATCAGCCTTGCAAGTTTTCGTAAGAATAAATTGTACGTAGTTAATTAATTAGTTTAATCTATACTAATATTATAAATGCGAAAGTAACTCTGTCTGTCTGTCTGTCTGTCTTGCTTTCACGCCTAAACCACTGAACCGATTTCAATGAAATTTGGCATAGAGAGTCTAGTT